ATTGTTCAAAATTCACTATTCGTTATTTGCGAATTGTTGTCAATTATTTGCAAATAATTTTGGGGTTTTTTTTTTTCGATTTTTTGTGAGAAAATTAATTGGTTTCGCCCCATTATGCATAATTCCTGTTATGCATAATTCCTGTCAGGAATTATGCATAACAGGAATTATGCATAATGGGAAGACACCAATTAATTTTTTCAGAAAAAAAAACAACTAAATTTATTCCAAAATATTGTTTATTTATTTAAAAAATAAGATTTTAGGAATACTAATGCATTCAAAGATTTGTCTGATAAGACAAACTTTGAATGCATTAGACGATAACGAAAAATATATTAAACGATAACGAAAAAATTCTTTCCGATTGAGTAGAGGCTGGACGGATTGCTTTTAATGAATTTTGTAACAATCCGATGTTTTTCGTTTTTTTCCCTGTTAATTTGAATAAATTAAGCTCTTGTCTAAGTTTATCAAAACCAGTTGAACTTTGTTTTTCTTTGGTTGCTTTTGCAATAGATGAATTCAATTCATCTAAAAGACTGGCAAATTCATTTTCTGGGGATGTAGTTTCTATAACTTCATTACTTTGGTTGCCGTCATCGTTGTTTTCAAGAGGATATAAGCGATTTAAAAATTCAATAGCACCATCCACCATTTGACGTGATTGTGTGGAGGGGGGGGGGGCATATGTAAATTGCATCAACTTAATCAAATCATCATTGCGTCGTTTGTTAATTCTGATTTTCACTCTTTTGAGAAACCGTTCTGTTAAATTAGTTCCAATATCTGACAATTTTTTGTACAAAAAATTAATAGCGCCTTTAGCTGTAAGTAAATTTGATCGACTGATACTTCAGCTGTAAGTAAATTTGCATCTGAGCGACTTAACGCTACAACAGTTTTATTGGTTTTAATACTTCCACAAGATTGGCGTAAAAATCAAAATCTAAGCTATCGTACAGACGAATACTATCTAAATCTTCCAGTGCATTTTTTATACTATTTTGAATTAAAAATGCGCGCTCTAACATTGTATCAATGGAATTCCAACGCGTTTTCACATCTAGTAACAACTCCAATGGTTTTCACATCTAGTAACAACTCCAATGGTTTTCACATCTAGTAACAACTCCAATGGTTTTCACATCTAGTAACAACTCCAATGGTTTTTTATGTTGTTCGAGTACGTGTTGCTGTAGTACATTGTTTTTAACGGTCGATTTTTATAGTATTTAACTACTTTACGTAGAGGTTCCAGCTTTAATTTCATTAAAGATGACAAATTAAGTGATGATGGCTGGTTATCAATAGCCATATCATAATTGGACTCATTATTTTTATTATCAGTAGAATCTGGAGACGACTCTTTGTTATCAACAACCTCCGAGTTTTCAGTCATAACGTCAATTACAGCGAAATGCAACGCGTGATTATAACACAGTTGGGTGATTGAAGGTGATTCTCTGCCTAATTTTACCATAACAGCGGCGCCATCCGTTGTACAAACCACAATATCAGTATCAAATTTGATGTCAAACGTTCTTAGATGTTCACGAACTATCATTTGCAATGTTTTCACATCTGCATGACGAGGAATGAGAACCAAACCAAGATTAAAAAAATCTCCATCATGTGTATGAATATCTATATTCAAATATTTTCTCATTTTTACGCTCGTCCATTCGTCCATCGTCAAACTGAATTTTTCGTTGTTCGCAAGCATACTTTTCAATTTTTGTTTCAACTCTGCTTTAGTTGCTTCGTAAAAATTATGAACTAATGCCATTACATCAGAAGGATTTTTTGGCAACACTTTTCTTGATTTGCCAATTTTCTGACGTATGAAATCTGATTTATTTATCGCATTGATTGAAAATCCATATTTAGCTGCTAGTTTTGCAACAATCTCTTCTAAAGATTTTTTTTTGATAAAATCTTGAAGAGTTTTTTCTATGTATTTTTACTTGAGGTGGTTATCTTTCTGACTCCTGCAAATCCAAATCAATTTTTTGTTTCAGAAACAAAAGAAGATTTTTCAGAAGATTTTTCATGCTGCTTGTTCCTCTTCCTGTATACGACAATTTTGTATTACATTTCTTGCATAAAGTTTTGTTTTGTCATTTGGATCTAATGTAAAGTGTTTCCATACCTTTGATTTGCTTTTACTTGAATTCATTTTTGTACTGAAAAAAATGCATAATTTTTTGCAAAATAAAATATTTTTTTATTATATTGCAATTAACTCAAATTAAAAATTCAATCGAAAAATTTACGTGAAGTGAAATCATAAGATTTGCGTATGCATGCTTCTACTGTGAAGCAGTGTGTATTTATATACAATGAAATCATAAGATTTGCGTATGCATGCTTCTACTGTGAAGCAGTGTGTATTTATATACAATGAAATCATAAGATTTGCGTATGCATGCTTCTACTGTGAAGCAGTGTGTATTTATATACAATGAAATCATAAAATTTGCGTATGCATGCTTTTACTGTGAAGCAGTGTGTATTTATATAAAATGAAATCATAAGATTTGCGTATGCATGCTTCTACTGTGAAGCAGTGTGTATTTATATACAATGATACAACGTGTAAAAACAAGTATTCGATTTTGTACAAGAAATTTTTAACAACTAAAATCGAATTACGTAAATACTCAAATATTTTACTTTTTTTTTTTAAATATGATTGAATTTTGATTCTAGAACAATAATTACGTAATTACAACTTACAATTCTCGTAATTCTAACAGGAATTCTAATAAATAACTTTTTTCTTATTAATTGTCTGTATTTTTCGTCTGCATTTTCTAAGAGAATATATAACCGTAAATAATCATTAACTGTGAGCTTCGTTCGCTGAGCATGTATGTGTACTAAAGTACCCCTGCTAAATTTTGAATTCAAAAATTTTATCTGTTTGTAATTCCCAACTATAAGTTTTATTTAATTTTTAATACAAAAACACAAGTAATAGAATAGTTATTGATAAAAAAAAACAAAATTAAAAAAAAAAATACAAAAACGAAACTATTCGAATATTATTTGTTATTTGCGAATAGTAAGGTTCTACTAACCGATATTTGCAAATAGTAAAAAGCTCAAATAATCAGAAACCCTAGTTTGGTTTAATTTTTACAATTTTCTGCCTTCTGGGGCTTAGCCTCGTCCAGCAAACCTTTTCAGGTCATTGTCTCTTGATGAACCTCTTTGCAATTGACTAGTTTATTTTTCATTTTTTAAATGTAGGCTACCAACTTCACTCAGCCTTGAGCCTATCTAAGGTTGGGCCGTCGATTGCGATTTGCAAGAACTCTTGCTACTTGTAAATAGTTATTATTTTTATTTAAAAATTTGTATTAGCTGGGATTTTATTAAAATATTTTTGAAAACGTTGATAACTTGCTCCTGAACATTAATTATAGTAAAAAACTGATTTTCTTTAAAAAGTTTGATCAAAATATCAAAAGCATTGATGACATCATTGATGACAATAAAACAACATTTCGAATAAGTTTTTAACCAAATGCATAAAGTGTCTATCTATAACGGGTTTTTTTTAATTATGGTTTATGTTCTTCATTTCTTTTTGTAATAAAATCAAAATAATAAATTTAGTTTTCCCTTTTTTTTTTCTTTCCCTGAATAAAAAATATAAAAGCGATATTAAATCACGTTATTGAGTTTGGTGTGTGAAATATTTAGGCATTATTATTAACTACGAACTTAATTTTACTAATGAAACATTTCGTCGAGGAAAGTTCAAATCTGCGTAACTAGCATTGGTTACTATAATTGGATATCAATATTTTAATACCAAATATCTATCTTTGACATTATAAAGAATATGAATAAGATATCCTCTATCCTGAAACGTGGCCAAAATCTGTTGAAATAAAAAATATGTAAAGTTTTTAAGAAATTATCTACTATCCTTGACAATAACTCAAATAAAATTGCAAGGAAAACTAGATATCTATACTTTCAAATTATTACTGTTCTTTCAATTTTTTTTTATGCAAACATTAATAACTAAATTTTAAAAAACTATAAAACAAAGCAATTCTTGGTAAAGAATTATTTAAGCCTCTCGGAAAATTGGGTAATCTTTGCCTGACCAAAATATTTGACATAACTTAACAAAAAATCTGGTTTAGTACAACTTTATCATAAAAGCACTAAAAAAATAAATCAAAGAAGACTTAGAAGGTGCAAAAAAAATTACCCAATTATTCAAAGTTAAAGTTCAAACCACTCTCCGAAAGTTAAATAAATAAAGGCGTTTTACTATAAAATAATATAAATCTCTATCTAAGCAACGCCGTACCACCACCCTTATATGACGTAATCAAGTTGCATAAACAGGTAAAAGGCTATTCTATGCTGTTAATTGTAAGCACCATCGGTACACCTACACATAATATCTTTACTTATTTAGTCAATATGGTAGGGGAGAACGGGGTGAGATAGGATAAAAAAATTTGTTTGTGTGCCGCGCTTTATATTATTGCCGAAAACCATACAAATTGGATTAAAACTATAGTCTAATGAGTTGTTATAGGAAATTATTTAAAAACCCATTACTTAACCATCAAATTAAGTTCACAGCCTCGTTTTTTTAATGTGACACTGTTTGTCCCATGTCAATCCATGTTGGAGTGAAATGGGATAACGTTTAAGGTAAAGTGGGACAAGTAAGAAACAAATAATTTTGATCATTATTTTATTTTGTCTATTCTAATTTTTATATAATATAACAATACACAACATTTATTTGTGTTTAATTAAAATAAGATATTCTAGATGCATTTATAACTTTGTTCAACAAGGTTGCTTGATGTTTAAATTGAGTCAAAATTGTGTTGATGTCTCAGATGTAGCTTTTTTGCTTTTTCTTATTTTTATGTTCTTTTTTTTTTTTACATTCTAATAAACTTACAAATAATTCATTTCTTGTTGGTGTGTCAGTCAATACCAGAGACCTAAAACATTTTCTTTTTCTCTTTGTCGCCCTCTCACCCGCTTTAGGAAATGGCCTTATATCTTCTGCTGTCCAATGGTAGGCAGAAGTGTTTATTTGCTGTTTCTTGTCATTAATAACTTCAGATACAATAGATAGTGGTGTAGGGATTGTTTGCGTTTGCAAATCAGATAATTTACTTAAATTGTAAGCCTTAGTTGCAGGGTCTGTCTGATTGTATACATTAACTATACTGACAAAAATCGTTTTTTGAACCGGTTGAGAAATACTGCTGGACAAACTGGCTGATAAGGTAGAGATATTTGCTGTAATTGGTTGATCAGATACATAAGAACATAAAAAGTTTACATCACTGAAAACATATGGATTGAACAGGAAAATGTCAGCTGCCTTAAAACCATTTTGAATGTTTTGGGAAGTAAAGGCTCTCACTTAAGCTAATCCTAAATTTTCAGAAATGTCATATATTATAATAGGAGTATTTGGATGTGCCTTTAACCATGAATCACATGCTATACTGTAAAATTTCTTTAATGGTCCAAATACTGATCTGTCAAGTAGTTGGAGTTTGTGACTGCAATGGGGTGACACAACATTACTTTCCTTAGCTTTATTCATCAATTCAATCAATATATGACTTTTGCGGTTGTCCATTATTAAAAGTAATGGATGATGCTGGCTAGGATGTCCATGCTGCACAAAATAATCAAACCATTTTAAAAATATTTCTGTATTTATCTATCCACTAGGATTAACATCACCTTTGGGACCTGTTGGTCCACCTTTAAGCATGTAGCTACGAAAGTGGACACGGGGAAATATCAAAAACGGTGAAATAGAATTTTCAAGGGCATTTATACAACCTACCATTGTAACTAGGGTTTCCCTTTCAGCAGAAGTTACCTGTCCTATTTGCTTTACTCCTTTACCCGCAACCACATTTACTGGAATTATGAACAGTTTAAAGAGCTGTTTCATCAATATTGTAAATACAATCAGCAGAAAACTTATAGCGCTTCTGTACAATGTCAAAGTTTTTGAAGAAAGTATCTGCATTGGTGCGATTGAAACTAGTCGTTCTATTAAGGCTGGTAGCTTCTAGCATACGAATAGATGATTTTGTACAATTTAAGAATAAAAAAACTATAAAGTTCCAGCTGTTTCACTCTTTTTCCAGTTTTCTGGTATTTTAATGTCATTTTTAATTGCATATTGATACGCAAGTTGCTTTGTTTCTCTAACATTTATTCCATAATGTATATCAGATTGACGAAGATATGTTGGAAATTCACCTTCTTGCGCCTTATTAAAAATATATTTATGTTGTTCATCAAAGTATAACTCATTTAAAGAAAGTTTCTTTATTAATCTTTATTTTCCACAGTAAACTTAATTTTGAATTTTTATATTCCAGTGCAGCTGCTCGTAGTGATAAATTCCCAGATTCAATAGCCATTACAGCGGTTTTTATTGTATGAGCATCAGGCTTTAACCAATTTGTCACTCGTTTGTACTTTCTTGGCATCTGAAAAATATTACACACATTACTCATTCTGTTATTCAAAAATTATGCTTTCATAAAATTGCATTAACCAAAATCCATATTATTAATGAAAATAAATTAGTACCACAACCCTAAACATTTATAATAAGATTAAATTTAAAAAGGGTAATAGTAAAGACCTTTATTTAAACTGAATTTTAAATACAGTGCTAAAAAATATTTTTTATAAAACAATACTTACTGTGAAAGATGTCTTTAACAACCAGGATAAAGTTTCAAAGAAATCCTATATAACTATTTTTTGTAAGATAAAAACATATTAACATAAAGTAAACATAGAAATCTTGTCATAAGCATAATTTTCTGCTAACTTGTTTTTTTACAAAAACAATTGATTGAAAAAATTAGAATATAACAAATTAAACAACTGATAAAATTGAACAATATCCCATTTCACCTCAAGTCTCCTGTCCCAAGTCACCCCATCACTAGTAGGTGTGAGAAAACCTTTATTTTATATAGTTCTCTTAACCATATGCTAATTATATTTCTTCAGTAATTAAATAAGACAATAATGATTAATTAAAAACCATAAACATAAAAAAATAAGGAAACATCACATAAGTATTTAATATTAATGATATCTTCAAAATCCAGAAAACTTGTTAGATTTTAACATATTCGAAAATAATTTGAATTTTAAAATACTTTTGAAACTCAAAAAATTTTTTTTTTTTTTTTTGTATGTATTTAGGTGCTCCCAGAAGTCCTTGCGGTCTTATCATAGAGCACCGCGGTAGAGCATTTAACAAGAAGTTCACGCCTCCTTCCGTACCAATGTCGCTTGTTGGGCTAGAGCTGGCGTCAAACCTCGAACCTCTGGGTTCTGAGCCAGAACTCTAACCACTGCGCCGCAGCTGCTTCGTGAAAAAATACAATAATATGAAGTACTTATTGTAATCTTATCACATATATATACAAAAACTGCTCTAATAATTTATTTGCTGAGATATTGCCATGTCCCATCTCACCCCATATCCCGTTCTTCCCTACAATTCACTCTAAAATTAAATGGAACGCGTTTAATAAGTTCTCAACAATTTGTAGATACAGCAAGATTATGGGAAAGTTTAAGTTATTTAGATACTTTAAGAAGATGCCACGGTCTCATCACAGAGCACTGAACTTGACAAGAATAAGATTCAAGTCTCTTTTGCACCCTTCGGTCCCGAATAAAGAAGCAATCGTAATATCAGTTAAAAGATTAAGAAACAATCAGTGTTATCTTAAGTAACTTTTGAAAAGATTACCTTTAGAATTTTGTCTTTTCCATTGCTATTTTTTATACGAAAATTATATTCATGAGTTGAAAAATTTTGGACCAATTGGCTTAGCTTTTATTGCGGTAGTTGTTTCGGACCGATTGGCTTTTATTGCGGTAGTTGTTTCGGACCGATTGGCTTTTATTGCGGTAGTTGTTGAGTGTTTTTTTACACTATCATAAAAGTAATGCTATTTTTACAGCTCATAACAATAACATTCGGATCAAATTATTTAAAAGATATTTTGATGGATCAAATTATTTAAAAGATATTTTAATGATATACATTCACAATTATGGGTAGAAGAAGATAAGCAAAATTTTTTAGATCTACTTTATAAACAAAATAAAATTATTCAATGCGCAATGGAATTTGCCGACTTAAACAATACATTTAAGTACCTTAAATGTATTGTTTACTTAAACAATACATTTAAGTACCTTAAATGTATTGTTTAAGTCGACAAAATTGGTAGATATAGTTTTAAAAATATATCACAAAAATGTAATCACAAACTAAACTAAATTCATCCCATGGCTTTAAAATTGGCAACGATGTTTTTAATGGTTTCATCCATAGAGATTTACGTTTGCGTGTTGTAAATAATATAGATGATGAGTCGTCGCATCTCATCGATGTATTTGTTTAAAACAACTATGAGAGAAATAAATCTAAACTAATCAAATCTACAAAGAAAAAACATCTCACAAAAAATAACTTAACGTCTTCCAAAAGTTTTTCGTTTTTACCCTGGATCCCTGGAATCTGTCCTAAGTTAATGAAAGTCTTGAAAAAAGCAGGATACGCACCATCTCTAAATCTCCAAAAAATCTTCAAAACCAACATTTCAAAAAAAGTTTTTCACTCTCACTGTAATTTAATTCATATCCAAGTGTTTATAAATTAATTTGTTCTTGATGCTGATGTTATGCGGCGAAACAGGGCTAAAGATATCATCTTGTATATGCCAACATCAAATGAGTGCCCTTCTAAGCATTCTAAAAACTGTCAAGAAAATTTCTAATGGAGCAGTTGCACTACTTTAAAGAGAATAAAAAATGTTATAACAGTCGCACTACTTTAAAGAGAATAAAAAATGCTATACCCATTCTTAGTTTCTTAAAAGTAAGTAAGATTAGTTATAACAGAAAAGTCAGGGAAGCGTTGAAAATACAACACCATAAAAGTACCTTTTGCGATAATTGTCTCAACCAGAATGAAGGAGATTATGTGACAACCTCATTTTGGAAATAGATGTTTTAATTCTTACGTCAGAAAAAAACTTTCTTAGAAGAAACTCTTATTTAGAACATTGTTTTGTAAATTTAAATGGCTTTGTGTTTTATTACAATTGTTATGTTACATTATGATATTCTTAGTATATTCTCCTAAAATTAACAAATCATTTAAATTGAAAATTTCATCGGCCTCTTCGGGTTTTTAATATATATAAGATTGAACTCTTTTAATTTGAAAACTCTTGTAATTCAAACGTGTTTTGTGACCCCTCGAGGATTTTAATTTCATGAGATCAACTGTATTTATTCTCGGACAAATATTATCAGAAGTTATTTGTTCGCTTGGTCAAACGAATAGTCATTATTAATTTATACTATTTTACAGGGAACAATAGATAAATGTAATTAACTTAGAGCAGCAAATAAAATTTAAAGCATTTTTGTGTGGTATTAAGTACGATGGTATTTAGGGCAGCACAAAAAAAATTTAAGGATGAGGGAAGAGGGGGGGACAGGATGAAAAGTTTTTTGCGTATTTCTAGAAAGGGAATAATAAAGCGTTAAGTTTGTAACATGATACAATTGGAGGAAGAGGGGAGGGTTCAAAATCAATCCTCTCAAAAATTGTGTGACGTAATTACTAAACGACCCTATATATATTTATATTTGTTTAAGGCTGCCGTGGCGCAGTGGTAATAGTTCTGGCTCATTACCGAGGTCCGAGGTTCTACCCCCAATAGGAGGGAGGCGTAAATTTTCTAATTATATGTTCTTGCGCGGTGCTCTGTGATAAAATCGTAAGGATTTCCTTAATATCCTTAACAACAAAAATAAAAATAATAATATAAATATTTAAATATATGGAAACCATCCTTAAAAGGTGAGAGGAAAACTGTTTCTTCATCGTAGAGTTTATTATATTCCCTTTAAAATTTAAAAGAATGTTCAACGCACTAATTGGGATATAAACGATTTCTGAGAAAATATTTTTATTCATTTCGTAACATTGCATTTTTATAATCGTACAACTTAGAGAATATGAATTATGCAAGCCAAAAACTGATTTCCAAAGTAGTAATACATGTTTCCTGTGCAAACCTACCAAATAAAGACTTATTTTCTAAATCTGACCCATTTGTTGTCCTTTTTTTGGAAACTAGACAAGCATGTGGTGTTAAAAGCTGGGTTGAGTGTGGTCGCACAGAAGTTGTTAATAATAATCTGAATCCAGAATTTTTTACACCATTTACCTTGGATTATAATTTTGAGGAATATCAATTACTTAAATTCGAGGTTTTTGACAGTGATTCTTCGTCAAAAGTATTAAGTTCGCATGATTTTCTTGGAATGCTTCAGATATCTTTGGGAAGTATTGTTGGAGAATACAAAGGCAATGTAACAAAACAACTTTTTTTAAGAAACGGATCTCCTTTAAAAAGTACAATTACTTTTGTTGTTGAGCAATTGAACGATTGTAAGGAAATAATAGAGTTTATGTTTTGTGGGCACAATCTTGACAAAAAGGACTTCTTTGGATTATCAGACCCTTTTTTAATATTTTATAAACAATCTATTGATGGAAACAGCAGTTATACTTCAGTTCATAAAACAGATGTAGTTTATAAAACACTTAATCCTGTCTGGAAAGAATTTAATATATCTGTTTTTACTCTCTGTAACAATGATTATCATCTACCAATCCTTGTAAAGTGCTTTGACTGGAATAAAAATGGAACACAGGATTTTATTGGAGAGACACAAATAACTCTTGATGAAATTCTTAAAAAAAATAAAACTGTTTTTGAGTTAGTTAACCCTAAAAAAAAAAAAAAAAAAAATTCTGGCACTTTAGAAGTTTTGAAAGCAAATCTAAAAAAGATTTATTCATTTTTAGACTACATAGTTGGTGGATTAGAATTGTGTTTTTATGTTGCCATTGATTTTACAGCATCTAATGGAGATCCTTCTTATCCCAATTCGTTGCATTATCGCCACCCGCAATTATTAAATCAGTATGCACAAGTTTTGACAAGTGTTGGTCGAATTTGCGAAAATTACGATTCAGATAAATTAATTCCAGCCTATGGCTTTGGTGCAAGAATAAATAATCAGGTTTATCACAGTTTCTTTTTAAATAAAAGTAACAGTCCATTTTGTTATGGTATCAACGGTGTTTTAGATGCTTACTATTCTGTTTTACAAGATGTAGAACTATATGGACCAACAAATTTTAGTCCTGTTATTAATTGTGTTGCACAGTTTGCTGCATCACAACCAGCATCAGAAAAATATCATGTGTTGCTTATTATTACAGATGGGATTATATCTGACATGAATCAAACAAAAGAAGCTATTATTAATGCTTCTAAGTTACCTATGTCAATTATTATTGTTGGTGTAGGAAACGCTGATTTTGATGCAATGAATGAATTAGATTGTGACAATAGTAAACTATCTTTTAATGGAAAAATAGCAGAACAAGATATTGTTCAGTTTGTACCGTTTCACAAATTTTCCGGTGAGTTTTCTGGTGAGAAGTTATCTAGTGAAGTACTTAAAGAGTTACCTGGACAATTAGTAAATTTTATGGCAAGAAAAGGGATAATTCCAAATACTCATAATAAAGCATCTGCCCCATTCCAAGAATCTGTTGCATCTCAATGTGTACAATCTCCTTCAAATCTACCTTATCCTTATCCACATATACCTCTTAGTTGATTAAAAATGTTTTTTGGTTATAGTTACTAACTATATTGTTTGTTGATTGGTTGTCAATAAGTTCAATAAATATTTCTTATTGTTCTCAAACTTTTCCCTCTTGGCTAGCTCTTTTTTCTTTTTCTTTTTTTAAATTCTGTTTTGAAATTTTATTTTTTTTTATCTCTTAAACATCAAATTTTTAAAAAAAATGTTTCTTGTTCAGTTCTTATATAAAAATATTTTGGTAACATTAAACAAGGATGTAAGCACACACACACACACACACACACACACACACACACACACACACACACACACACACACACACACACACACGCACACACACACACTTTTATTGATTCAAATTGACTTAAGTCTATAAATAGGAATTTAAAGACTTAAGACTTTCCTTTTCTTTTTTCTATTTCAGAATTTTGAGAATTATTTACATTAACATAGTTATTTTAAAAAGTTATTATTAAGTAAATTTCTATTTTTAATAAAATATTTTTGTGTTAATAATTATACAAATATTATATAAAGCAATATATATTTATATATTAAATGTCAATTTAGTTTAAAGGTTCAATATGAAAATAGATGTTTTGACAAGATTGCTATCTGGAACTTAAGCAAAACAATTACCATGGTTTAATTGTTTGACAATTTGTATTTAAATTTAAAGCAGGTGTAAAACTCTTGTTTTATCTACACTATAGTAAAACCTATACACATGATTGATTAAAGGTAAAGATTTCACTTTTCTACGACAGATACTTAAGATATCTCAAAATAATATGTTATACATATTATATGGGTATGGTGGGATGATATAATATGCATTGAATGTTATCTATGCGCAATATTAAAATCTAGACTTTATTAACAGTTTTTGAACATATTTAGGAGTGAATCCTTGATCCCATAACACAGTTGTGGACAAGAACCATATTAAAAAAATATAAAAACTTTGAAATAAAAATCATCTCAAAATTGAATAACAAGTAAAAATTCAATTTAGACATGTTTTGAAAAAGTTTTTATGAATTAAAGAGATAAACAAAATCATTAAAAAGTTAAAGAAGACAATTTGCTTTGCTTATTTTTGATTTTGCTTAGCATTAAAAGTATTTGTCCAATACTTTTAAAGTATTGGACAAATACTTGTCCAGATTTACTAACCTTGAAACTCTTTACTTATAAGAAATGATGCGCTGAGTAAAGTTCTGAAAGGGTATATATAAATTTCAAGGTTATATTTTTCAAGCTTTTTGTACTCGCCAAGTATGACGAAAAAAAAAATCATATTTTTTTTTTCAAAGCAAAATATTACCCCCACATGTTCATTTATTGAGAAATCTGAAGGAGAAGTTCATGAAATTTTTAAAACGAAGAGCGCCTCGTTTTAAAAATTTCACGAACTCATTTAAAGATCTTTCAATGAAGTCTAACAAATAAAGATTGCTAAAGACTGAAAATCAGTTGTTATCACAAAATCTTATCGCAATCTTATCAAAGAGCATCTTTTTCGCAATCTTATTAAAGAATTAAAAGCTGCTCAAGTCCTAAAATACTTTATGAAAACTAAAGTTGATGGAACCTGTAATATATTGTGGTCTATAATTTGCTCATCAAAGGTAATCACCAGAAGTAAATCTAGTTTTAATGCTTTATTGTAGAATGAGTAGGTCTGATATTAAAATAACATAAATTATCCAAATAATAAATTGTTATCGTTAAAGAAGGGCTTCAATATAGCTTTTTAAAGGTCAAAAAATTCTGCAAAATTAAACAGTTCCGCAAAGGAGATTTAAGTAACAAGTTATATATCAATATATTTTTCCTGAGCCTTAGAGAGGCCCACAAAAGGTTGTATTGAAAAAACTAAAAGAAATTATTTTTTCTTTTGAAGACATATTTTTATATTTCTAAATTCTTCTGAAAATGAATATGAAGCTTATTACATAAAGTAATATATAATAGTATATCTGACCCACATCCTATGTGTTTATGAAAACTACTTTTTAAAATATTTTTGTATTTATATATTAACGTATCAAGACTTTCTTTATACCAATTTATATATTCTTACGAAATTTATTTTCTCGATAATTATTACACACATTGTTTTGTTTTTTTTATTTTAAATTTCATGTTTATTTAATGTACTTAATATTTACGAGCGAGAAGACCTGAAGGTCTTCTGAGAGTCTCTGCGATCTTATTTTTGTTTTTATTTTTATAACTGTATTTTTTTTGTTTTGTATTTCTTATTGTATAAAGGGGTTTATCTTAGCTATTTAACTGTATAAATCTATTGAATATTTAAGAAAAGAACAAATAAAATTAAAAAATAAATTATACCATATAATTCATAGCAATTGAGACCACCTAACAAGAAAATATGATTTGGGCCACGTGTATCATTAAATAGAAGCCACACTTAATTTATAGGATGACGTTAATATGGGTCATGTCTGTTTATGGTACTTTTATCACATACGTGGTAGCGGCATAATATTTATACCACTTATCCACAGTTGGCATCGGGTAGTTTTCCTATTTTTATCCACAGTTGGCATCGGGTAGTATTTCTACATAAATGTTTAGTTTTTCATAGAGTTTAAATGGTTAACATCATTAATGGTTGAGTTGCATTAAGTTCAATATTTCGTAAATAAGCATTTGTTAAATAACTACCATTATGGAAAATTCAATCAGATCATAGTTTTTTTAAGATGTAAACCAGGGGGTGTGGAGTCGTAAAAAAAAAACCAGGGGTGTGGGGTCGTAAAAAAAGTACCGACTCCAACTCCGATTGGTAAAATTTTCAGAGTACGACTCCGACTCCAACTCCGACTCCAATGCAAAAATTCTTTGAATTCTTTTAAAAAAATTACGCAATAACTGAAGATTTTTTTTGTTTGTTAAATATATGAAAAGTTCTTTGAAGGTTAAATATTTTGTACTTGCACGTGGAACATTTATACTATTGGAGTCGGAATCGCAATTCATTGGATTTTGTTGAGTGTGAGTTGTAAACGCTGAACAAGATGTCGCAACACCTTATGCAGAGATGTATCAATAACATAGTTATTGTAAAAATTTTCATAAGGAATTTTATTTTGTTTCAATTTATTGTCTCTTTATATACATATGAGAAAAATTTTTTAAAAGGATTCTTTTTTTATAAAAAACTAGTATAGAAGCCTCAAAATCTTAAGTACTTTTTAACAAGAAAGTTATTTTATTAAAAGTTTGAGGAATATTTTCTAATTTTTCACCTACATGTCATATCGAAGTAAAATAAAAGTTAAAAAATCATTAACACCAATTAAACAGTTAAAAAATCATTAACACCAATTAAACAGTTAAAAAATCATTAACACCAATTAAACAGTTAAAAAATTATTAACACCAATTAAACAGTTATAAAATCATTAACACCAATTAAACATTTAAAAAATCATTAACACCAATTTAACAGTTAAAAAATCATTAACGCCAATTAAACAGTTGAAAAATCATTAACACCAATTAAACAGTTTAAATGAGTATTTAAGTTGCATATGCAATCAAATGGAACTTCAATCAATTGCAAATGAAATACATGATCATAAGAAACTCTTAAGAAACTTTAAGTACACGATTGGCAAAATAAAACCCTTAAAATGAGAAACTTTCTAGTGCTACCCCATTTAATTGTTTCTTTTTAAATAAACGAGTATATTGCAAATTCTTTTCTATCAAGGGCTGTAAACAAAATAAAATTAATTTTACCTAACAGCCTCTTAAAGCAAAATACAATTGTTCTAAAGTTAGTTACTAAACTACATTCCAACATTGTAGAAACTACTAATTCATTAAGAGAAGCAACTTTTTTAAATAAAGAAACCAAGAAAAAAAGTTGTTGACTTTTATGATGATGTTAGTTGTATGCCTTCTTGAATAAAAGATTTTAGACTTTTTATCTTACAAAATAAATAAATTATGGTTTCAAACTAAATTTTTACAATTTATTATTATTTTTTTAGATTACTACAACTAATACCAAAATTAAAGTGAAGAAATATATTATGCGAAACAAATAAGAGATGAAAATTATCGAGTTATAAAACATATTGCCTAAATAAATACATTAATAGTTATTATAAACAAAAACATATTATGATAATAAATATAACATAAATATAAACATACGTCATCAGCAATGATGGTTACGTTTATACAAATACATTAATTAGTTAAACTAATTAACAGTATAAATATAAATTGTACATTATAAAATAAAGTGCAATATCAATCCGAATTTTTTATGCTGTCTTTTTAACTTGACTTCTTCTGACTTTTACTATAACTTCTTTCGTTCTTATTAATTCACTTACTCTCGGTCAGCGAACCGGGTGATGATGCTATTTAGTAAGCTGAACTCGTCTTTACGGGCCTTGGTATGTGGCCTCTATATGGAAATTAGCCGGAGGATAAACCACAATACCACCTAAATAGATACATTTTTTAACATACAGTATTGGACAAAACATTTGCAACCAGCATCAAACAATACTAAAAAGCGTTCCTAATTTTACATGTCTTAAAAACGAATCGAACTATACTACCACAGCAAACAGTTCAGGAGTCTGGAGTCATAACATGCTATGACATGAGCAATCAGCTGACAGGTAACAGCACACAGGCAGAATTTCGTTGACAAGTGCAATTTTGCAGCGGACAAAACAGGTGCAACTTTTTTGGTTTGTTTCCTTTTCTTAAGTCTGGTCCGTGTCAACGTCACGAAAATTTTTTAATAACTAAAGGAAGTATCCGGAAGTTTCCAGAAGCATGCAGAAGCTTCCAGAAGTTTCCAGAAGCAGCATCTGGAAGCATCCAGAAGTATCCAGAAACATTCAGAAGCTTCCAGAAGCATCGAAAAGAAGCATCTAGAATCTTCCAGAACAGGTGCACACAGGTTCATTTTACTATATAAGAGACATGTAAACCGACATGTAATTCAGTCAGTATAAAGAGGTCAATCAGTCAGTATTATCAAGACAGTTTATCGAAGTGAGTTTTATCAAAGTGTTTTATCAAAGAACATCAATACAAGAAGTGAAATACAACAAGTGTTTCATTACATCAATTCAGTCCACATCCAACCATGATGCTGTGTTCCACAGAGCAATATTGTATCATCACAAGGTAAATGTAACACGGTAAGCCTTGAGAAGCGTGACTTTAAGTGCAAAAATGGCTCCCGACAGTCTACAAATTATTGGCGATTACGTAAGTGGAATGTCTTAAAAAAGTATTTGTGATAAATATCTCGTTAAAAAATGGACCGTATCAAGACTATGCACTAAATATCGTTCTACGGGGAAGTTGGCAGCAGATAAAAAAAGGTGGAAGACCGCGTTCCACCACTTCCAGAGAGGATTCTATGATCGTCAGATCCGTCAAGAAGGATCCCTGGATATTATCAGTCGAGATAAAAAAGCAATTAGTGTTGCCTGTATTGGACCGAACAATCAGACGACGTGCAGTTGAAGCCGGATTGTTTTCTCGACGGCCTGCAAAGAAACCGCTGATTTCACTAAAGAACCAGAAGAAAAGACTCCTGTTTACTACATCTCATATTGACTGGAATATTCAGAAACGGCGAACTGTTTTGTTCAGTGATGAATCGAAGTTCAACATCATTGGGAGCGATGGCATTTGCCGTGTACGTCGACCGGCCGGAAAACGCCTCGATTTACGTTACTGTCATAAGCATGGTGGAGGCAATGTAGTGGTCTGGGGTTGTTTTTCTGCTAACGGTCTAGGTCCAATACATCAAATCGATGGAATAATGGACCGTATCATGTATAAAAATATCCTGAAAGATGTTATGTTACCTCATGCTAAATGGAATATGTCAATATAATGGGTTTTTTAGCAAGACAACGATCCGAAACACACTGTAAAAGTAGTCAAGCAGTGGTTTCAAGACAACCATCTATTGGTGTTGCATTGGCCACCTTAATATCCAGATCTCAACCCTATCGAGAACCTGTGGGAGATTGTCAACCGCAGAATTAATTGTGAAAGTGTTCGTAATAAGGATTAACTGTTTGAACAAAAGGCCTAAGCAGCGATTCCTCAAAGTTTCTTTGATCACCTGATCGAATCTATGGCAAGACTGTGATCAACAACAAAGGATTTGCCAGGAAATATTCATAGCGAAATACAGCTTGGTCAACTTTTTAAGGAGTTGCACTTGTCTTGTCCAGAAGGAAATCATTTTTTTAAAATACTTTTGATTAATTTTCGAGTACAAATAATGAACTTTGTGATGAATAAAACTTGAAGAACGTTGTCTCTAAACAGTTACATATTATTTCTCTAAATTGAAAAATGCAGCACTTTTATATAAAGAAATTAAATTAGCCTTATTTGGTTGCACTTGTTTTGCCCAATACTGTAAATACTTAAACACCTTTTTGTTTTGATTATTTAATAAGCTATTTTCCGTAAGTAACGTTTATTTTTGTCTCGTAAGTAACGGTAACTAATTTCACTTATGATATATAAATAAAAAGCTAAAACAATCATTTTTTATTCATTTTATGTTTAACGAGAATTACTTGATTTAGTAATAGAAGCTAGTTTATGTCGGTAATAATTGGCTTAAAAAAATCAAATAAAGACAACAGGTTTAACGCAATATTTTTTTGCGTCCCGTAAGTAACACATTGTATAATGAACTATTAATATTTATACAAAGTGTAATACAGTGGAACAATTAATTGATTTCGGGATGATTTGCCCATTTTAATTTAGGTAACTCCTCGATTTGGAATGTTATACACTATATAAGTTATAAGTTACACGTAGTTATAACGTTATAGAAACATCATCAAAAAAAAAAGAGATATGGTTTTTAATTTGTTTTCAACAGTTTTTATTTCATGTTTACTTACTTGAAAAAATGGTTTAGAAAACTTGGATATAACATGTAATAGAAAGAAATCTTTTCCAGTAATAGGATTGGTCCCTACAAACTCATTCATTGTCATTCATTTACAAATGCACTTATTAAAAGATTATTTAATTTATAAAAACTTTTTTATTTTAAAGTTCATCTTGCATTAATCAAGGCTGTTATTTAAATTACTCTATCGTTTTGGTCATGGTAAAAAAAGTTAGTACTTTGATTTGTACCTATTAACAATAAAACAGTTTTTATCACCATCATGTCAATAACATTTTGAGAGCCATCATAGTCACTAGTAATTTTGCCGCTGCTGACAATTGTTAAATCATCTTCAAATGATGCATCTAGCTTTTCATAATTGGAATCATAAAAATTGCTATATTTTTCTTTAAGAAGACTGACCTTCGGTAGAAAAAACGATTTTACGTTATCTTGTGCAAGTGAAACATAAAGGCGTTTAAATATTCTTACAGTCCATTCAACAATATTAATTGAGTTCAAATCAACATTTCTCGATTCATATAGAAATTTTAATTCATAAAATAAAGTGTTTTTTAAAATGTATGACGTAATATTAGTTTGGTGTATTATGGGAAAATTGTTATTTTTGAACAAAAAATTTGGAAAATTTTCATGAAGAATGAGTGCCTTGCAAAGGGTATATCCAATACGAGCATTTGATGGAATTCTATTAAAAATATTAGTTTCTAACAGAGAAAACGATATTCTAAGTGCACCGCCGTATTTTCTTCCTATCCACAAAGCATTTTTAAAAGATACCATTAACTTTGGCATTTTTTTTTTATCATCTAATAAAAATGACAAGTTTTTTAATCCAGATATTAATTGCCTAATTGGTATAACAGGTACAACATCGATGTTAACCTGTAAATTTTTGTGATATCGACCTGTGTACCTTAAAAGTATATTAAAAGAGGCGCCGCTTTTACATAAATAGTTTGCGCTGAGATTATAAAGATTTGCTGTTGAATCTTTGTATAGGTCAGGTTTTCCTAATACATTAGTTAATACACTGGTTAAGCTTTTTTCCAGCGTTTCTATGCTTATAAAATTATCGGATCGAAAAAAGTATTTGAAACTTGTTTTATTATCAAAGTACTTCTTTTCGCTTTTGAAACGCATATGTATAAGTCCTGAGCTAGAAGTTTCGACTACTTCGCACACTTCACCAAGTGACTCAAATATAAGCAAGTAATCAAATTCATTTGGAAGTCCGCATTTAGTATTTTCACTGACACTTCCAGATATTGTTGGAATGCATGTTAAAAATGCATCTTCTTTTGATACAAAATTGCAAAGTTTTAGCATAAAAGATTGGATTGTATCATACACCTCTTTTTCGGCTTCATTTAAAAACATTGACCCAACGTTGTTTTGAAAAATTATTTTCTCTAAAATATCATTTTTTTTATTATGTTGAACAAAGTATTCTGGTTTAATATCTTCCTCGCTCGAAACAATTAATGATCTAGATATTTGATTGTCTGCATTAACAACTTCAGTTAAAGGTGCGTTTTCTTTAAGTTTTAAGTAAGTATCAAAAAGTTCACACTTATCGTTTTGTTGTAGAGTTTCATAAAATGTTTGCTCGTTATTATTTAGTTCATTTTCTAAAGCACCTGCTTCAATTAAATATTCTATTATATTGAACGACTGACTATATGCAGCATAATGAAGTACTGTCGAACCATAAATGTCTTTTGCATTAATATTAGCTCCATATTTGATAAAAGTTTTAGCTACATCAACGTTATCTGCAGAAGCAGCTAAATGCAGCGGTGATATATTTAGTTTGTCAACAATCTGCGGTTTTGCCCCTAATATTAAAATTTGTTCTATAATATCGATAGGTATGCTTCCGATCCAAGCTAACTTATGCAAAACAGTTTCTCCTTTTTCGTCAGCAAAATTTATGTTTTCTCCATCATTAATTAAATTAATTACATTTTTTATCATTTCTACATCATTTTTTAAATATATTTCACATAAATTAGAATCTTCTATTATTTCGTCACTATTACTAAGTCCCTCTATAAATAGCATAAGAAGTGATTTTCCATCATTTGTTTTATGCTTCAGATTGCATCCCCTAGAAATAAACATTTCTAAAAAATTTATGACTTCTTCTTTATTATTTACTTCATATGGACTATTTTTTAGAAATATACATATTGGAGAGTGACCAATAAAATCTATTTTGTTGATGTTATGATCTGTGCATAACAGCCTAACTATATTTATGTTACCATTCATGCATGCTAAAAAAAGCGGGGTGTAACCTTCTTTTGTTACCGCGTTTAAACTTGCACCCGAGTTTAAAAGAATTTGAATAAAATTAGGTTCTATGTCTAAAATACTTGCAGCAAAATGTAAAGCTGTCATTCCTTGTTTGTCTGCTGCGTTAATATTGCTTCCTAACTGAATTAATTTTTTAATTACTTCATAGTTTTTTCTTTTAATGGCAGTCATTAGTGGTGTTCTTCCTTCATCATTTAAATAGTTTATTAAGGCTCCTTTTCTATAAAGTTGTTCAATTACTGCTACGTCAGAAGCAACATGAAGAGGAGTATTACCACCTTTACATGTGACGTTAATCCATGCATGCCATGATGTAACTAATAAATTACATATCGTAACTTGACTTCCAGCTACAGCTGCATGAAGCAGATAATGACCCCTTGAATCACAACTGTTAGGAGATACACCAGTAAGCAATGCGTCATACACCAAATCATAATCGCCATTATATGCTGCATACACTAATTGATCAATTTCATAATTATGGTTCGACATATTACCTAAATGATGTTTGGAATTATACTATATTAATATTATAATTAACTTTATTTACTATTATTATTTTTTTTATTATTACTATTATTTAATACAGCATCGGACAAAAACGAAGAAACAAAATTATAGTGTATTTTTCAAATCAACACTTTAAAAAAATTGTTAAAACAGGATTAAAAATTAATGGATAAATGTCTTTTTCAACTGATTTTTATATAATGAATATAATTTAAAAGGTGCAAATAAAAATAATATAAAACTAAAAGATATATTCATGTAGTAGAGCGACAAAAAGGAAGCAACTAAATATATATGTTTTAATTCTCTACCCAAACAAAAGAAAAAATTAAAAAAATTATATTTTGTCCAATGCCCTTTATTTTCAATAACTGCCTTGCATCTTTTCAGCACAGATAAAATGAGATTGTCAATTACAGTGACGTCTATTGATTTCTACACATTCACAACTTCTTCAAATAACTTTGCCGTATTTAAAAATGTTTTGGACCTTATTTTCTTCTCAACTATTTTCCACAGATTTTCTACGGGGTTGAGGTCTGGAGATGGGGCTGGCCAGTTTAATACATTTTTTAAGTTGCAAACCAGTTCTTTACAAGCTTCGAGGTGTGCTTGGGATAATTATCTTGCTAAAAAATAAATCTCAACAGTATGTTACATTCCGCTAATGGTAACACTATGTCTTCCAGTATAGTAGCATACTAATACTTATCCATAATGCCTTCACTTCTATAAATTGGGTCTATACCATGACCGGAGAAACAACTCCAAACCATTATACTTCCGCCTCCATGCTTAACTGTTGGTAATACATATTTAAGATTGTGTTTTTTTTAATTTAGTTTGTCTTACATAAAGAATTCCATCATTTCCAAATATAGACAACTTAGCTTCGTCACTGAAGAGAACTTTTCTTCAATCTCTTGCAGTCCAGCGTTTGTGACATCTCGCAAACGTCTGTTGCAGATTTAAAAGGGTCAAATAATGACTCTTTAAAAGGGTCAAATAATGACTCTTTTAAAGGGTCAAATAATGACTCTTTTAAAGGGTCAAATAATGACTCTTTAAAAGAGTCAAATAATAACTCTTTAAAAGGGTCAAATAATGACTCTTTAAAAGGGTCAAATAATGACTCTTTAAAAGGGTCAAATAATGACTCTTTAAAAGGGTCAAATAATGACTCTTTAAAAGAGTCAAATAATGTCTCTTTATCCTTTTATCATTTCTTTTTGATGCTTTTCTCGTCCTGCTAAGATTTTTTACATTAAATACCATTCCTTTTTTCTTAAAAATTGTTAATGTTTTCGAAACAACAGATTTTGTCTGATTCCGATTTTTTTCCCCTTGCCATGTTAACTCGATAAAGACAGCATATAAAATATATTTAAATATTTAGTAAAGCATAAATAGCAGAAATATTTCGTATGTTGCTTACTTTTTTTGTTGCTTGAAATCTAAAAAAAAAACCAACTGATAAGTACGCTTACAAAAATTTCTAGCGATAAAATTTCATCAACACCCACTGGACTTGTGTAAAATGTTTTAAAATATGTTTTGTTAGTAAAATAGTAGAATATTCTTATTCATTTTATTTATTATTCTAATTTAATTAATCTAAAAAGTTAAGAATGTTGCTTTCTTTATGTCCGATGCTGTATATTATATAAAATATAAAAGTATATTTTAAATTAACATAATACATTTAATTATAAATCAAATGAAGTAAAAATTTAATTTAAAGTATTAAATATTCTACGACGACAATAGAACCGTGACAAATCCGGTCTTCTGTAAGCGAAGACCGGTCTTTTATGAGCATTTTTGAAGTTAGTACTTTTTGTAATCTTTATACATATCTTTGTTTTTAACACTTTTAATATAATGTTTCTTCTAGTTTGTAAAAAAAGACATAACTTTTTAATTTACATTGTAAAAAAAAAGAAGCCACGCAAAAACAACAACAAAGACCAGAACATCCTTTGATTTAATTTTTTTTTTTTTAATTCTATTGTTTTTTCAATATCATTTTCTTAGAATACTTGTCAATTCTAAGAAAACTAGATCTAATTTTTAAAATATTAAAAAAAAAATATTTTCGAAAAAAATGTGAAAACAATCTTATAATGTTTTTTTTACGATAAAGCTATGAAACCGAAACCAAATGATATGTTTTTTCATAGCAGGGTGAACACATTTTATTTTACTTTACAAATGATTAATAGATATAAACCCCCAAAAAATTTTTAAACTAATTTGCATATTTTAATGCGTGGGAATTAATATATGTGTCTATGTCTAACTAATCTAAGTTTTAAAATTTTTTTTAAGAATAAAAATATCGATTTTTTGATTATATTAAATCTCGATTAAAATTCAATTTAAGTTAAAATTAAAATTTGATTTTTAATACTCTTTATTAGTAGTGCACCTTGATTAATGACTTCTGTTGGAAAAAAATCCTGATAAAGTTTACATGTAAAAAACTTTTTTAGCTTCTTGTTAGATTATACCGGAAAAGAAAAACAAAGATGTGCCTGGTTATAGAAAAATTAACTGTTCTCTTTTATCTGTTGCTGTATATGTTTTGCGCTGCCCAACTTGTCTCTAAATGACTTTAACAATAATTAAAAAAAAAAGCAAATTACGAGGACTGGCTTATGAAATTTTGATTGTTTGTTCAAAAGGTAAATTGCAAAATGACTTTAAAACTTTTAAATTGTTCCTAATCAAAAAAGGAAGCTTTGGTATAAACACACAAGTAATATACACCATGCAAACTCTTGAAATAGGAAATTCTGGTCTTCAAAAACTTACAATCCTTACAAAAATGCCAAAATTGATGACGCAAAACCTATGATAAACTTGCTTTGCAAGTACCTAACATTACACAGGAAATTGTACAAGATACAATGACTGGTGCAGTAGCTGATATAAGTCAACAATTTTAAAATAATAATGAGATTTTGAATTTTTTTTTTTCATATATATTTATTTATATTTTGTCACCTTCATAATAAATTATTTACAATATTTTTTAGTTAAGGTGTGACGGGAGCTAGCAGATGACAAAGATATTAAAATATAGCCGTTGTATCATTTACATATTTAACAAATAATAAACTTTTGTATATATATATATATATATATATATATATATATATATATATATATATATATATATATATATATATATATAAATTACAAAATATTAAGTTTTCAATTAAATATTGTTAGAATACAGTATATTTTGTTTAGTTAACTTATTTAAAACAGATAATTAATATCTTTTATTTTACCTAAATTTGAAAAGTTAAAAATAAACAAAAAATAAATAAAAATAAACAAAGAAATACCAATTAATAAATCCAAAAACCATAAAAGACATCAAAACCTTTGTGCTTTTTTAGCTGCTAGGATTATGTCAAATGATTCCATTTTGTTATTATCTATTCCTTTGGTTTTTTTTAAATTTGTTTGCTTCTTTATTATGTACTAATTTTCATGGCGGCATTTAAAATTAATTCTGATAGACTGGAGCAAAAGATACCAATTGAATTCAAAAATAATATTTTAAGCACTTCATTGTCCTAGAATTCTTAGAACAATCCTATTGGTCTTATAAGCCGTAATCAAATAATGTCAAATCTCTATTTCTTAACTAGCCTCTCTCAATTCTTACTCCAAAGTTATCCTTGTCAAACAAGACCACTATTTAGAGAAATAAGTTGTGCAGTATTTCAGGAGACGTAGGCTGGTATTGAACCCGAACCTTTTGATTGTAAGGCGTGGCTTCTACTACTTCTACTACTAGTCTACATCCGTATGTTTATTAATACATTATAAAAAACAATTGAGACAATGTAGGGGAGACCGGGGCAAGATGAGAATGTCTTAAATTTTTGCTTTTTCATTAGGTGGCAGCATTAATCAGACACTATTGGCTGCCTCGATATAACTTTTATGCATGTGTAAATAAGCTATGCTGCAGATATAGGTAAGCTATTTCGTTTTTATTTAAAAGTAACTAAGTTTAGGTACTTCTAAAGAAAAAGTTCGTCATCCTGCCCCGTGGCGAGCTCGTCATCTTGCCCCGTGTTTCTGAATTTATTAAACTAACCATAATTATGATCCAGAAGTTGTTGTGAAAAAAATGAAAGTGTGAGGATAAATTGTGAACAGATTTTAAGAAAAATATTAATTTGAGCCTAATAAACTTAATACAGATTTATTAACAGGATTTGTACCTTAGATTAAATCCTGTTATTAAATCTGTATTCAAATATGTAAAATATAAGTCCTGAAATTTTTTCACTGGAAAATTTAAAGAAGTCTTTAATGCTGCACAGTAGGAAGATTTAAAATCATACATAACAGCAATGGACAAAATGTTATTTGGATTACGATATAAACAGTGTAGAAGACTAATTTTTGACTTTGCAGAAGAATATGGTATTTTGCATCCGTTCAACAAGGATATGGCAGGAGAAGATTGGTTAGCTAATTTTACAAATAAACTTAAATTTAGTGTACGCAAAACATTGATTGCCATAGCAATGGGTTTCAATAAACCAAGTATAGACGAGTTTTTCAACATTTTAAGGGAGCAACGGAAAAAATATAAATTTCCTGCTTTTTCAATCTACAATGCAGATGAGTCAGGTGCGACTGGCTTTTACCTGCCACCTTTTCGAAATCAGCAAATGGTAATTCCGATGCACCGAAAACGGTTAGTGCTTTTGATTTCAAACCCATGACAAAAGCAAAAGAATGTAAAAAAAAAAAAAAAAAAAATGAGCTCAGTAATCTAACAGATACACACTTCAAATATTTGTTAAAACAATTGAAAAAACAAAGAGAAGAACAAGATAGTTTAAAAATGAAAAGAAGCTTGTGAAACTAAAAAGGGTGTAAACACTCTCAAAATAAGTTCCTGCAGACCTTAATCTATAAAATCCACAACAAACAATATAGTTGCATCAACAAAGGATGATGTTATAAGATGTCCTACTTGTGAACAGAAGCGGTTCTACAAATAAAATGAGGGTTGTGAATCCTTTAAAAGTACCGACAGGTTCTAAAAAAAAAAGGTCCGCAAAACTAAAATTCACCCAACCTAGTTATGTCGAATACCCGGCTACCTGACTATATTTGTCAAAAAACCGACTATAACTTGAAAACCATCTTCTTTAGGGGGCAGGATATGGGGAAAAGGGAGGGGTAAAGCACTCCTTGTTCACCCCTCTCTTTCACATACTCACCTAAATTTGCATCTGCTTGTGAAAAGAAATATTGTGAACCTCCAACAGAAGAATGGATTCAGTGCTGTAAGTGATTGATGACATGAGAAATGTTCTAATTATAATTGGTTCTAATTATGAATGTTCTAATTATGATTTTAATAAGATTGGTGGCATGAAGAATGTTCTAATTATGAAAACAGTATTTTTATTTGTGACTATTGTTAGCGGTACAACTAAACACTTGTTAAACCCTATAATATATTCAAAAGATAAAATATATTTAACTATTTTTAGTGTTGTCATATTGCTCCAGTACTGGGGCAAGATGACAATTTGTTAAGGTTGTGAAAAAATAAAACTTTTATTTTTTTATTAATTTGATTAAGTAAATGTTAGTATATTTAATATTATAAAGGACTACTCTAATGTGTTCATGTAAAATTAATTGTATCATCTTTGAAAATAAATTAGTAAGCAACAAAAATTGTTAACATAGTCATTTCGCCCCGGTCTCCCCTAGTATTAGTTTTTCATACTTTAAACAAAAGTTCTTAAAGAAAATCTTTTGCTAATCAAGAGATTAAAAAAATTTATATAATGGGGTAAAAGACTCTTTATTTCATCTTTCGTCGCTTTTCCTAAATACTAAGACTTGGTAATCAAAAAATGACATCCACCGCTAACGTAGCGTTAGCGGTGATGACCATTTTACTTTTTAATAAATTAATTACAACAGTTTTTAAAAATGTAGTTTCTTCATTTGTTTTCTCTCAATGGTATTAAGAGAAACGTTTATCTACCATTGACAAAGAATGTCAATGGTAGATAAACGTTTCAAGCTTACCTTTTTAGAATAGTTTTTCTGTCAAAAATATTTTTATTTTATTTTGTTCAATTTTTTATTTAAAATTCAAAAAATTTTTTAAGGCAAAATTTATTTGATAAGACATCACAGAGCACCGCAGAGTAGCATTTAATCAGAAAACTCACGCTTCCTTCTTTACCAATGTCGTTTATTGGTAAGAACCGACGTCGAACCACGAACCTTTTGGTTCTAAGCTACTGTGCCTCGGTTGCTTAATTTTGATTGAATTTTGAAGAATGATATTTGTCAGAGGTGGCGTAGATTCAGGTTTGAGCATTTGATTTTTAATACAATAAATTATTAATGATAGCAATAAATTTTAAGAATAAATAATTAAAATATATCAAAGGTGAAGGTTCAATGAAAGTTACTGCAAATCTGTTTAACCCAAGTCAACACAGAGTCACTTATGGGACTCTGGAGTAATTTCTGCTCTTGTATTGGTATGCTGTAAAAATATGCACATAGCAATTTTGCAGTATTAGTTAAAAAGCTTCAACTTCATAACTGTAAATACTCTCTGGCATCAGATTTTAAACTAATCAGTATTTTGTTGGAAACTTTGTTTAAATTAATTAATTAACTACACAACTTTACCGTAATTTTTACAAGACTAATATTTATCGGTTCTATTTTTTTCCATTCAGAATATTTTGAAGCCTTATCTTATAAAGGAAGTTAGAAGCTATTAATAGGCATTGTATCTTTACTAGAGCTTCATCTTCTGATTGGTTTGGTAAACTACATTTTTAATTATATGAAACATCTTTTGGAAGGTTTATAACAATGGGTAAAAATAATGGTAATGTTTAAAAAGTAATATTGAAGGATGTAGTCGGTCTTGGATTAGTAATTGATACATTTAGTGATTAGTATATGGAGGTATATTTAGTAAACCACTAGATCCACAGTATCACAAGACTTTACTGATAGTGTTGAACATTCTTAAACCTACTGCTCGGAAAATCTAGTATAAACTTTTATTATTTATCAACTTCTTTTACTTTTAATATTTTTCTTATATTCATTAACATATTATAGCACTTTAAAGAAGGTCTCTGTGAGACGCGGAGAAAACATGTAATAAGTTCTTATCTAGGAGCCTTCTTAGATAAGCACAACTGTTTTCTGTCAACACACCAAAAAAAATTGAAGTTCATTGTAAATAGGTTTAATGTACCCAACCTCAGAACGAAGCGATTGATACATAGTGGATAAAATAAACGAAATGCTAAAATGTTTTTCAGCATGAGTATGTAGCTTTTGATAAAGCTAATTTTATTGAATGATTCTTAGTAAAGCTAACCCAAAAAATTGAATATGCAATTAAAGAGGCATACGATATTCAGAAGTTTTGTAGACTGACATCTTTTGTAGAGAAAGCCATATATCATATGATCATACAGAAAATTGCTGATAAAAAATAAGAGAAAAATTAAGTTAAATTTCAGACCGCCTTTCTCAAATGGGGAAATAGGCATAAATGAATGTTTTTATGTGGTTTAAAAGTTATGGTCACTTTTTTTGGAAGGCAAAAAAGTTTAATGGTTGTGAACTCTAATCATTATAAAAACATCTTTATTTCTATTTTACATTTTTTTAAATTTTACATTAGTATGTAAAAATTTTTGATTTGCAGTGGTCTCGTAGTTACCTCACTGGAAAACAAAATTTTCATAATTCACTCTCTTTAAATATTTTTTCTGAAAATGTGCTACCTAGAGCTTTTGTAGAGTTTGGTAGAATTTTTGCTATTGTTTCTGAAATAGAATCTATAAACTTTTTGAGGTGTTCACAAACCAAACTTAAATAGTCAATTTCTGATCTGTGTGTGCGACAAGATATTTAAAGTAAAAGAATGTAAAATATACGGATGCAATATTAGAATAATATAAAATAAACGTATGGAATATTAGAAGCAAAGTTACGTGGTAATTAGGCATGCGGAGGGAGTTATTCAAATTGCAAAAATTTAGTTCAAACAAAATTAATTGTAAAAAAACAATTAACAATTTTTTTATTGCACGAAAACGGCTAATTTCTTTATTATGCTACAAATAAAAAAAAACGCTTTTAAATTAAAAAAATTTTTTTTTAACAAATTATAAAATTATTTATTATCAGTTTCTATGTCAGCAAGAATTTCCATCTGTATTTTTGATTTTGTTTTCTGTCGAGTTACATCAACCCGACGAGGATCAGGATGGTATTCATAAATGTTTCTAAGTTTCTTGTTAATCCCCTGCAACATTTGTTTAGGATTCTTATAAAACCCAACTGCTAATGATATAAGTATAGGCGCCATAGTTGAAAATATCATTATAAAGATAAAAATTTTCCCCCACCAAGGGTATTCAATGTCCGCCAGTGAACCTTCTACTCCTTTGCTATGAGGCGAGTAGTCAGTCTAAATAAATAAAAATTTAATCACGTGATCGTCTTTTTAGGTTTATTCTAAAAAACCAAAAATGATATCATAGCAACTTACCTTATATATATATATATATATATATATATATATATATATATATATATATATATATATATATATATATATATATATATATATATATATATATATATATATATATATATATATATATATATATATATATATATGTATGTATGTATATATATACATATATATATATATATACATATATATATATATACATATATATATATATATATATATATATATATATATATATATATATATATATATATATATATATATATATATATATATATATATATATATATATATATAAATATATATATATATATAAATATAAATATAAATATATATATAAATATATATATATACATATCAAGGACTACTATACGGAAGGACGCGCAAAGTCGATTTTCTGACTCTGCTAGCGAAGGCCATTATTTTTTTCAAAGTTAAAGTGTTCTTTAACGTTCCTGTAACTTTTTTTTAAAATTTTAACCATAATCATGGTGAACAAATGTGGAGTTGTAAATTGTAAAGGGAATTATAATAAACTTAATAAGTGTCGTATTTTTAAATTACCGAAAGATAAAGTTGAGAAACAGAAATGGATTAATGTTCTTCCTTTACGTAAAAATTTTATTATTGAGCCATCTAAATTTTTTATATGTGAAAAACATTGGCCTGAAAATACAGAAATGATTAAGCTGCCTGGTGGCTATACTCGACCAGCATGTGCACCTTGTATTTTTAATGTTCCTTTTTCTTGTTTACCAACGTCAAAGCCTGTGCCTCACCAATCTAAACCTGAGGACATGCAATTGAATTATTTCATCAAAAAAGATAGAATAAATTCATTTTCTAATTTTTATCCTGACAATGAGTTGCACAAAAGATATAAAAATAAAGTAATATCTCGACAAGACAATAAATTCACATGCATTTTTATGTCAAAAGATTTTAAAGAGAGTTTTGTGACGATTATTGTTTATGATAAGTGTACCTTGTGTTCACCGCTAACCTTTTCAGCTTTTAAACATGGAATTTCCGTTCCATTAGCTAATATATTGAATCGAAACAATGGCTTAATCTTCTATTCACAATTTTTTGAAGCAATCAATTTAGTTCATAATTATAATCTGCATGTTAATGATGTTATTGAAAAGGTGACAAATGTTCTTTCAGAAAATGAATTTGAATTAAATGATGATAAGAAACAAAAAAAATTGAATTTTGTTACAAGACAACTCAAACTCTTGTCTATAAAAAGTTTCTCTATAGCTGATTATTGCTTTGCAATCGAGTCTTTTTATAAATGCAACTACGATCAACTTCGTGATTTTTTAGTCCTTCCAAGTAAACGAAAGCTTCAGTCTATAATTACTGCCACTAAGATTGACCATGTTTTACAAAAAACATTTGAAAACGTAAAGAATAATCAAGAGAAAAATTTTATTTTGATAGTTGACGAGGTAAAAAATAGGCCAACAGTTGCTTATTCGTGTGGAGTGACTTCGTAAATGGGATGACAAGAAATGATCCAGAATCCAAAACCACCTCTATGCTATGTGTCATGATGAAATGCTTACATGGTGGACCTAGTTTAATGATTTCTGTTACCCCTGTTTACAAACTAACATCATTGTATCAGTTCATTGTTGTGAAAGAAGCTGCTATTATAGTTAAAAAGCATGGTGCAATAGTTTTAGGATCTGCAACTGATAATCATAAAATCAATCAGCAATATTGCAAAATTTTTAACAGAATAACTGACTATCAGGCCATTCATCCATTTGACAATAAGCGTGTTTAATTTCTTTTATTTGACACAGTTCATCTTCTTAAATGTATTTGCAATAACTGGATTTCTGAAAAGTGTCAAAAGCCATTTCTCGATAATAAAACCATAGCTTCATTTTCAGATGTGAAAAGTCTATATCAATACCAAAAAGAGAACATTTTAAAAACAGTTCCTTTATCCTATGCTGCTGTCTATCCTTCGAGACTTCAATAACAGAATGTGCAGCATGTTTTAAGAGTGTTTAATGAGAAAGTAGTAGCTGATCTTAAACTAAAAGGAGCTTATGAAACATCCTTTTTTATCTAACAGATTTTAGATTGGTGGAATATTGTTAATGTTTCTGCAAAAAGCAGGATGTTAGGTTGAGAGATCACAACCGATCTGTGCAAGATAAAAATTCAAATAATCTTCAATTGTTTTTAGACATATTTAAATGTAAGGAATCAGGACATGGGCCTAAATGAGTTCAGTGCGTTACCCATGATTCCAAAAAAGCCCTTGTGCAAACTACTGAAGGATTGATAGCTCTCTGCAAACATTTGTTTTTAGTTGGTTTTGATTATGTTTTGCTTCATGAGCTACAAAGTGATAGAATAGAAGGAGAATTTCTGTTTATAGACAATCAACAGGGGCAAATGCTTTTATGGCAGCTGGTGATGTTTTCTCTGCTTTTAAAAAGCGTTTAGCTAGATTTGCTACATCAAATTTTTAGAATCAGTGGAAGTAGGACAACCTAATAAAAAAGGTCACATATGTGAGGGTCCAATTAGTATTGAAGATGCAACCTCAATTGAAACATACATTTATGATGTGAGTCTTTCTGAAACTGAAGAGAGCTCTGCTGCCTATGTAGCAGGATGGCTTGAGAAAAAATGTGAAGATGAACTAGTTTATCCAGATGATGAACCTGAACTAACAAATGAAGCTAAAGACTTTATCAAAGAAGTTTCAAGGGTATATTTGACAGTTCCACATGTGTGTACTTATCAGCTAGTTAGAATTGGTTTATGCTTTGTGAAAAAAACAAATCACAGAGCATGTTGTAGAAAAAGACTTATAAGCATTCTATCTAAAATGGACACATATTATGATTTTGGTTTATCATCAAAGAGTCTTTTTAGGCGTTTGACAAATGTTCTTCTGCATGGAATTCAGAACTTGGATAAAGACCAAGCAAAAATTGCATGTCTTTATCAGACATCAATTAAGAAGGCACGCCTTGCTGAGTAGTGAATCTTTCTTTTTAGATTTTTTACTTGAAAAATATTGTATTGTTTATTTCTTTACGTAGTTATATTAAGTTCATTATGTTTAAAAAAAAAAAATTTTTAACATTGTTAAAAAGTCTCTAGAGAATATGATGTTTATATGTTTATTTTTTTATAAATAAATTGTGTCAATAATATGTTCTTTGTTTTTTTTTTTGAGGTTTTTTATATCAATCTTTTAAGCTTTTTAAAATAAGTTTTGATTTTGTTAATAATAATTACATAAAATTATTTTAATCGTATTTCAGAATTTTGATTTTATAAAACTTTGTTTAAGCCAATTTTAGTTATTTAGGAGTTAAGTGAGAAATATTAACTGGCCTTCGCTAGCGGAGTCAGGAAATCGACTTTGCGCATCCTTCCGTATAGTAGTCCTTGATACATATACATATTTATTATATATATATATTTATTATATATATATATATATATATATATATATATATATATATATATATATATATATATATATATATATATATATATATATATATATAAAATGAGTTAACCCTGAATGTGAGAGGAACGATAAGATAAAACTTATCTACACTCAAAAAAATCTTTCGTGTTAGGAAAAAAGTTTCCTTACCGGTTTTTCTTTAAAAATTTCCTTACCGTAGTAAAAAGTATTCCTTGATTTAAGGAAACTTATTTTCTTTAAATTCAAATTAAGTAAAAACAAAAGAAATATTTTTAAGGAAATACGCTTTTATGGCTTCGATAAAAGCGTATTTCCTTAAAATAATGTGCGCTTTTAGTGTTACAGCAATGGCGCTGAATCGTATGAAATGATAAAGATACATTATATTTAAAAAGTTATTTATTTACGAAAATTATTTTTATTTTTATTTTAAGAAAACAGTAAATTGTTTCCAAGTTGTTATAGAGTATTAGAAAAATTGAGTATGGCCCATACACAATGATTGTGTATGGGCCATACACAATGATTGTGTATGGGCCATACACAATGATTGTGTATGGGCCATACACAATCATTGTGTATGGCCCATACACATACATGTGGTAAAGTATAGTATAGTATTGCTAAATTATAGTATAGTAAGTATGGTAAAGTATAGTAAGGTTTTTATATATATATAAAAACCACATGTATGTGTATGGGCCTAGTTCGTATTACATGTACTTTTTTTTTTATATTTAGACTAGCACTGGCAATTCTATAGATGTTCCCCAACACTTGGCTCATCCCTAACTGTACCTTAAATATTTGTCCAATGACCTCAACAAAATCACTAGGAGAAATGAGTGCAGCGGAAAAGTTTGCTTGACTGAATTTTTTATTGTGGAACACTTGGATTACATAATTAAGGTGTTATGGATTTTTAATTTGAAGTATCCTTACAGTTAAGAGAAATTTTTGCAACTTTTTCAACTGTAACATATGCTAACTAGTGATCACTACTGATGATGTCTGAAAGCTTGGAATAGTTAAATGAATAAAATTATATACATATACTAACTAGTGATCACCACTGATGATGTCTGAAAGCTTGGCATAGTTAAATTAATAATTATTTTGTGTGCTCATCATGCAACAGTTATTTTATTGTATTAGCTTGAATTTTTGGCTGCATAAGTGGCCAAAATTTCAATCATTGTATACTGATGCTGCAGTTGTTACAATGTATTTACACGAATATTTGGCTGTGTAAACTACTTTTTAAATTTGTGTGCATGTGCTGCATTTATTACATTGTACTCACTTGAATACTTTGCTGTAAATGTGGCTGTGATATTTTGCTTTTGCACAGTTATTATATTGTATCAATTTATTTTAAATAAGTGTTAAACAATTTAGTCTACTTTAATACTTGTAATCTTGTGACTTGTTTTCCGATAAATTATTATTGTAGTAGCCATTTTGCTGTACACTTGTCACTTTTTGTGATTTGTAAATTTATTTAACGCGTTTGATTTGATAATTTTTTGAACCTTGGGTGCTAACTATCAACTATTTTGTAATTTAGCTTTAGTACATGTTTCAAAATAATAACCTTAGCGTTGCCAAATGACACAAAATTTGTTTTGAATGTAAGCGATTAAAACAATTCTTTAATATTGTTTTTTGAAACCAGGAAATGCCCTTAATTAAATTTCTTTATGGCAGGAATAATTGCCTTATTTATACTCTATGTTGTCAGGAAATTATCCTTTAGTTACAATCCTTAATTTCAAAAAATTGCATTAATTATATTCCTCAATGTCGGGGAATATTGCCTAAATTACATTCCTTAATGGCAGGAAAAATTGCCTTAATTACAATTCTCAATAAAAGGAAAAATTCCCTTTGATTATTTAATTACATGTAGGAATTTTTTATTTTTAAGGAAATTATTTACTTAATTATTTCATTTTTAAGGAAATTTTTTTAAGGAAAACTATTTCCTTAAAATTATATTTCCTTATTTTAAAGAAATCTTTACCAGTGCTGATTTTGAGGGATTATTTCCTTATTTTTCCCTTGAAAATAAGGGAATTTTTTTTGAGTGTATATTTTAACTTCTTTTTTGACAGGTTCGATGTTTCATTTGATAAACATTTTAATGCTCCAAAGTCATGACATATATAAATTTCTGCCTTTTCTAAAATGCAGGAATTGTAAAATTCACATGGTCAAAACATTTAAACTCTAAAAGATTATTAAAATTTAAAACCTGACGATAAATTTAAGTTTAGTTTGATATGCTAAAAAATATTAACTCACTCCGCTCACATTTGAGGTAGGAATGGCTAACTGGGAATGAACTTTTTTGCGTATTTTTGTTCCAGATTCCAATCACTATGATTTTTGAAAAACATTCACATTTGACATAGGTATGCGCATATACTTAAGTTTAGAGTTTGCACAATGTCTGAAAGTGTCATATCTAAAACATCAAAAAATCCTGCCTAAGCCATTACGAAACAATCATGAGAAATAACTTAATATATTATAATTAGTTTGAGTAAAAATTGTAAAAACCAAGTGCCCCACTCTTACAACAAAAAAAAATCTTTATTTTATAAAATAGCCTTTTAAATACTATTTAAAAATTTGAAAATCCTTTGAAATTGCGTAAAGCATTAAAAAAAAGTTTTAGAAATTTCAACTTTTTATAACTTTTACCTGCTGAATATCCCCTTTATGAAGCAAGATTCAACATAAAATAAATCTTTTTACTAGTTCCTTTCTATTGCAAAAGTGATTGTGTCATTAAAAAAAAAAATTATTTATGAAATTACATTTGTTCATTGCAAAGATACAGTTACTATGGTTACTATCTGATTAATAAACTAGTTCAATCGAAACTTGTTTAAATACAAGTTTTACTTAAATCCACTTGTTGTAGACAACCCAAATATGATAATTAAAATTTCTAATTAACTTACTAATTGCTGTGGACAGCCAACATATGCTTTATATGTAGCAGTAGTAGTTGCTAGCTTATAAAAATTAGTAAAAAAGATAACCAATATAGCAAATGGTGATATGTATTTCCAACAAACCATCCAAAATATATTTGGACGAGAACCAGTCATAAATTCTAGATCATCTGCAAACCTAAAAAAATATTTCAAATTCAAGTATAACTACTCATTGAAAGAATTTAAAAAAAAAAATCTATTAACCAACTCAGTTTTTTTTTTTAATTCTATCAAAAAATCAATTATAATATTAAAATATTAAACTAAAAATATTAGTCAATTTTTAATACAAATTATTTTTACTTAATTTTTTATAAGGTACTTTAAAAAAGATTTTGATGAGTTTGTTATTCTTTCTCTTTTTTTATATTTAATACAAGTCATATAAAAATTTGAGTAAAAATTCATTGCAAATTTAAAAAATTTAAAAATAAAAATGTATTAAAAATTAATTTTTTAATAACTTTATGAACAACTACTAATTAAAGTAATATTACAAATATACGTACTTAAATACAAATATATAAATATGCACATTTTTCCTACTACAGTAAGTAATCTGTCACTAAATTTCATTTTATAAAAAATTATAAAAAGAAATTATGCAAAAACTGCAATTTTTCTACAAAATATAAAACTTGAAAAAGTGTGAAAGTTTTGCTTTAAATTAGAGAGGAGGGAATTTGTCCATATAAGGAACAACTTTTATCAACTACTGGTGAAAATCCGAAATAACTTCATAGCAGGCGTAGTTCAGTGATTATTGTTCTTTCACAGAATTATGAGTTTTGAGGTTCAATGCCCGCTCTGACCAGATAAGCGACATTGGTAAGGAAGAAGGTGCAAACTTCCTAGTTAAATTGACCTTCCACATTTCTTTGTGATAAGACCCTATACCATGCTGCACTAGATTTGATATGCTAGTTTTTATATTACTATACCTTTTTCTGAACCCATAATACTTTCTTACTTTCTGTTAAAAAAATATATCTAAATTTTCCAAACTATATTTGCAAAAATGATACAATCATCCAAGTATTTTTAATGCATAAATACAAACAGCTTCTACAACTACTGAGCAGTCACTCTTATTTAATGAAAATTCCCAAGAGATTATTATTGACTTTATCATAGACAAGTATAAGAACAACCCTGATTAACCCTGACAACTGAGTAACCCTCAGTAAAGGCAACATTGTATGATAAAAATCGTCAAATACTGCCGGTAGTTGACGAATTTTATCATTCAAATCTGCCTTTACTCAAGATTGTTTTTATAATTTTCAGTAGACTGGGAGTCTACCCAAGTAGTACAGGGAGATTTCTAAAGAAATTTATTAATTTTAATTTATTTGTTTACTAGTTTATGATTTATTTATTTACTAGATTGTTACTTCTTGTTCCAATATTTTTTATTATAATTAAATCTAAATTTAGTTTGCAAAATTTATTGCAAAGTATTTTCTAGCAAAGTAAATCAAAAGCAAATTTTTACTCTAGCTAAAACTTACTTTTGTTTAAATGCAACTATTATTCATTTTAATTCAAAGTTATCCAATCAAAATTTAATTGACATAAAGTTGCATAACTTTACACGCAAAGAACACGCTTCAAAGATTTTTTAGTTTTAAATTTTTTTATTATTTTCAAAAAGTTAAAAATAAAAGTAGAAGGTAAACCACAAAAAATAGCAAAAACTGAATTGTTTTTAGACTTTTCTAAAAAAAATTAATTAAGAGTAACTGATTAAACAAAAAATATAAAATTTTGCCCCCCCCCTCCCCTTTTTTTTTAATAGTGTTGACTTTTACATCTTAAGAGTATTTCTTACTCATACTACAGTTTCTTAAAAATATCTTATTATAAATAATTATTATAAATAACTAATATAAATAATTAGCTTACTATATTATTATTATTTATAGATTATATTTTATATTATTTTAAACAAGTTTACTCTGGCTAATTTTATTATAAACAAGTTTACTCTGGCTTATCTTATTATAAATAAGTTTAATCTGGCTAATCTTATTATAAACAAGTTTAATCTGCATGCTTTATAACACATAAAATCCAACTCAAATACAACCTAAAGCTATGTTTATTTTTGAACCTAGCACTAAATAATGAACACAATACAACAATCATGAATTTTATTGCTTGATTTGTAATTTAAAACTCATTTAGAAAAATTGCTGTTGCTTTAAACAAAATTGAATACAAGGAAAAAAATTTTTTTTTTTTAATGTTTGAACCTTGCAGAATGTTGGAACATTTCTTATTTAAAACAAAATTAAAAATAAAGTATTGTTAAAAAAAATACTTAAAACTCTAACCTATCATTACCATACACCCATGAAACAGCGACAGTTTGAAAAAACGTAATAAACAGCAGACCAAGTGAAACACAATAATCATCAAAAAGTTGAAAAGCATAATAACCACTTGATGATACCAAGCCTAAGCCACATCCCAACAAAACCAAGATGACAATCCCTTAAATTTTAAATCTTTATAAATATGCTGATTTTATATATATATATATATATAAATATATATATATATATATATATATATATATATATATATATAAAATCAGCATATATATATATATATATATATATATATATATATATATATATATATATATATATATATATATATATATATATATATATATATATTTATATATATATATATATATATATATATATATATATATATATATATATATATATATATATATATATATATATGCAGTAATTATATATATAGGGTCAGCCGAATCTTTTGAAGGGCTAATGGGAAAATTTATTTTGATTCTAATTTTTTTAAAAGAGCAAGTCATTTTTTTTCATTCTTTTTTTCTTTTTATTAATTCAATGATTCAATAAAAAAAAAACTTTTTGCTTTGCGTTCTAAAGGAGATTTTTATGACTTTTTAACTATGTAACGTAATACCTCAGTACTTATATAGAATGAGAGTTTGGGGTTGGGCAGGTATTATTTAAACAAAAAGACTAATTAGGCTCAAAAAATATACATATATTATATAATATATATATATATATATATATATATATATATATATATATATATATATATATATATATGTTTATATATAATATATTTTTATTACAGGGCTCAAAATAACAAAGTTTGTTGTTTCAAGCCCTGTATATATATATATATATATATATATATATATATATATATATATATATATATATATATATATATATATATATATATATATATATAAGATTAATAAACACATAAAAAGTGTATATTAAAATTAAACTAGTGGAAAAATACAGCTGAAGTCATCAAATGGTTCAAAAGCATAAAATAAAAGAAACACGGCTCTTTTATCCAACTCGACAAATTACGACAAACAATTGCTAACTTCTTACACGTTACATTTAACCTTGAAAAAGACTCATATCATCCTTTCAAAAAACCAAATAGCAACCTACTTTACATCCATACTGAGTCCAACCACCTCCCACAAATTATTAAACAAATTCCGATTAATAAGCTATCAACGATAGGTTATCCCAAAATTCTTCTGACGAAAAAATATTTAACTCAGCAAGGACAGAATATGACAAAGCCCTAAAAAGAAATGGGTTTAAAGATTTTAGCTTCAAATACAACCCTAAAATTGATACCAAAGTAACCCCCAATTGTAAAAGAAAAATTAATATAATCTGGTTTAACCCACCATACAATAAAAACGTTCTCACAAATATAGGCAAAACCTTCTTACAATTAATCGACAAACACACTCCAAAACCAAATTCGCTTCATAAACTATTTAATCATAACACAACAAAGGTCAGCTACAGCTGTGCAAGCAACATAGCAAAAATTATAAAGAATCACAACAATAAAATTATTTCGATGAACCCAACGGCCACTTTAGCTTGCAATTGTAAACTAAGCAAAATCTGCCCTATGAATGGAAATTGCAGAAAAACAAATGTAACTTATGAGTGCATTGCATCATTCCCAAACACACCCGACAAAACATACATTGGTTCAACAGAGGGCATGTGGAAAACTAAATGGGCGAATCACAAGCAGTCCTTCAAAAATAATAAACTCACAAATGCAACCACGCTTTCTAAATATATATGGGATACACAAAATAAAACAAAAACAACACCAAATTTAAAATGGTCCATCATAAAATATGCCCCCGCCTACAACAACATAACCAAAAAATGCTTGTTATGCTTATACGAAAAACTAATTATTTTATTGTATAAAAATCCTCAAGAATTATTAAACAAAAAAAACAAACTAATACCAAAATGTCGCCATGAGAACAAGTTTTTGCTGGACAACCACAAACCAAAAGATTAGATTTTTTAACTCATTTTCTTTTGTACAGATTTATTATTTTTTCACGAGAAAAAAAACATATTTACACCTGATAATTGCATTTAGCATGAAACTTATAGTTGCGAAAAATATGCAGTTTTATTTATAAATAATATATGTATATATACAAATAAATATATATATATATATATATATATATATATATATATATATATATATATATATATATATATATACACACACAATATACAAATATATACACACACAATATACATATATATACACAAATATGTATACATACATATATATATATATATATATATATATATATATATATATATATATATATATATATATATATACACAAACATGTATATAAATACATATTTGTGTGTATATAAATACATATGTATGTATATATATATGTATATATAAATATATATGTATATATATACATATATATGTATATATATACATATATATATACACACACAGATTTATATATATATATATACAAATATATATAAATACATATATACATACACATATACACAGATATATATATACACACGCACACACACACATATATATATATATATATTTATATATATATATATATATATACATATATATATATATATATATATATATATATATATATATATATATATATATATATATATATATATATATATATATACATATATATATATATATACACACACAGTGGGTTGACAAATTATTAGGGACACTTTACTTTTTAAGTAAATTCAAAGTTTAAATGATTTTTGCAAGCAAATAAATTGTTTTTCAATAATTTTATTATGTTTATCTTAATTACTAATATAATAATAATTGTTTTTAAATTGTGGCAATTGTGTCAGTCCATCCTACCTTCAGAGTTAAGTTATTACTCAATTATTTGTAAATTGTTGAAAAGTGTGTTTGGAGTTAATGCAAAACTGATTTTAATTATTTATTTTTGGAATAACTTTTTGCAATTTTTCAATTCAGAACTATTGAAACTTTAGTATTGGTTAATGGTTCAATTAGTCATGGTTAATAACTTATTTTTGCTAATTTATTGCATAAATCCTGACTTGTAACCATTCTCACCTCTTATTGATTTTTTAGTATGGGCAAGTATTCAGACTTGACACTGAGAAAAAATAGGGAAGTAAAAACCTTACTTCTTCAATTACATATTGTCAGAGAGAGATAGCAGAAATTGCAAGTGTTTTAAAATCAGTAGCGAGCCAAATTAAAAGAAAAATCGATACAAATGTCGATAAAAAAAAGGATTACTACTCCATGTTGTGACCTTAAATTTAGGAACATCTTTCTGAAAAACAGAAAAAAAAGTGTGGCTTAACTAGTTACAATGATAAACAATAAAGGAATTTATTTTTCCAAAAGGTTGGTTCAGAGAAGGTTGGCTGAATAGAATTTAATGGGTCATTGTCCAACCAAAAAACCACGTTTAACTGAAGCCATGGTAAAAAAGCAACGGGAATGGGCTAGAAAACACCAGCATATGGCTATTGAAGACTGAAGTAGAGTAAATATAACTTATAATACTGTAAGAAACCAGAAAAATTATAGGTTTATAATTTAAAATATCTTTGTAATGTTTTAAAGGTTTGCTTCTCGGATAAGTCAATATTTCAAATTTTGATGGTCAAAAGCTTATTTGTATGATGCCTAGGAGAAATATTCTACCAGGACTGCCTTTTGGAAAAGGTTAAACATCATGTGAGTGTAATGTTGTAGTCTGTGATCTCAGCCAAGGGTATGGGTTGCCTTTACAATGTGGAAGAGACCATGGGGCAGAACCAGTACAAGCAAGTACTTGAAAACAGGCTCTTAAAGAGAATATGTTAATGCATGATTTAGCACCGTGCCATAAGGCTAAAAGTGATATATCATTCCTAAATGAAAAAAATGTGCATGTTAAGCCATTACTGTGTTTTGCCATGCCATATGGCCATTTGCCATTCACCTGATATGAGCCCCATAGAAAATCTATGGGAGTTCAAAAAATAGCAACTAATAAAAACCCTTATAAGAGAGTGGCATAACAACCCCAGTCTCCAACACAAAGCAAAAGGTTGCATAGAAAGCATGCCCCGACTCCTGAAAATTGTTATTTCAGTAAAGGGGGGCATTATAAAATATTAGGATTATTACCTTATTTGTTATGTTAAAGCTTTTTATAAAAAAAACAAATAGCTATGAATAAGTGTTTATATTCTAAATAAAGCTCTCTAACAATGAAAACAATAAAAAAATAACTACAAATACGTATTTATTCATATATATATATATATATATATATATATATATATATATATATATATATATATATATATATATATATATATATATATATATATATATATATATGCACCCAAATAATACTTACAATAAAAAATAAAATTTTTTATAAACATCTACAATAAACAAAGATATACACCAAATGTATTACCAAAAAAAAACTTACCAAATAAAACATTCACTATAAAATAAAAAGTATGCAACAACAATTTAAGTTCTAAGAATTGAAAAAAAATATTAATGCCAATGTGTAAACATAATTTGTGTAGTGGTTAAGTAATAAACATCTCCTCAGAGTCGCGTCTATAATTACTGGTGTTTCAATGAGAATCAGCACTATTAACTAGTTAATCCTGCCAACCAAACCAAAATTGTCTCATTTGAAGAACCAGCATAAACATGACAACAATATTCCATACAAGGACAACTTAGAGACTTATAAGTTAAAAGGTAATGAATTTTACCAAGATGGCAGATCAGCCATTTTAGAGGTAAATTAATTAGGAAGTTTATTAATATTAAAGAAGATGGAACCTTGTGACACCCCATAAATTACTTGTGGCACCCCAGAAGGAAATAAAGGAGTGTGTTGTCCATCAAGGTAAACTTTACACTGAAGTTAGAAAGAAATGATTTAATAATTTCAAAAACTTTCCTTGACATTCTATAATTTGAGTTTATGAAAAAAACAAGCATGCTAGACATATATATATATATATATATATATATATATATATATATATATATATATATATATATATATATATATATATATATATATATATATATATATATATATATATATATATATATATATATGTATATATGTATATATATATATATATATATATATATATATATATATATATATATATATATATATATATATATATATATATATATCTGTGTGTGTGTGCTTTTAATAAAGTGCTCAATAATTAAATCGGAGCTATAATATATATGTATTTAAATAAACTATATAACTTTTACAGCTATTAGTGAAACAAACAAGGCTTTTTTTGTTAAAAATATAATTACAAAAGAAGTTAATTTATGTAAAATATTGTTATGTGCACATAGATTGTTCTAATTAATTTAATCTTTGGGCTTGCAGGCTTGGACAGGAATGGTATGCGATCGCACTCTGTAATTGACCACGCTAATAGTTTTTTTTCTTTACAACTTGACCACGGCTATTTTGATGTTTTAACAATTTAAATGCAATAAAAAGTGTTATGTTACAAATAACTTTTAGTCGTTAATCTTTTCTATTTTACGCGTAGGCTTTAAAATAAAACCATATATAGATAATTATTTTTTTAATTATTGTTTACATAAACGTGTGTGTAAATTAATAAAAATTATTATATATAAGTATTTTTTATGTAGGCATGTATTTTTTATGATAAATTTAAACGTTTGAAACTATTTTCTCATGTCTTCCTAAAAATCTTTTTAAGCATTAATTTTAGAAAGATTTTTTTTTATGTTACTTTAATTTATGAATAAGTTCTAAACCTTTTGCAACTACTAGCTTTTACACATTTTATGTGAATTATACAAGAATATAAAATAACTTTATTTACTCATATAAGCATGTATTTTGTTGATTAATGAAAAAGTTTTAAAGCATTTTGTAATGTTCATACGATTAATTTTTATAATTAAACTTACTATTTTTTAAAATCTTTTAAACAAACATTTTATTTTTTAAATGAAATTTTTTTTTTGCTTGTTAGTAGTTAATTTGGGACGACTAAATAAGCATGAATTTCATAGGTGCGAACTGGCATAAGTGTGAATTGGCATAAGTGCGAACTGGCATAAGTGCGAAGCAGTTCAAAAACTGTCACAAGTGCGAACTGGCATAAGTGCAAATTGGCATAAGTGCGCCAAATAAATTTGCAAACATTGGCATAAGTGCAAACTGGCATAAGTGCGAATTGGCGTAAGTGCAAAATACTAATTTGCACTTATGCCAATATTCGAAATTTTATACGGCACACTTACGCCAATTCACACTTATGCCAGTTCACACTTATGCCAATATTTGCAAATTTATTCAGCGCACTTATGTCAATTCGCAGTTATGCCAGTTCCCACTTATGCCAGTTTTTGTAACTGTTTCGCATTTATGCTAGTTCGCACTTATGCCAATTCGCATTTATGCCAGTTCGCACTTATGCCAATGTTTGCAAACTTGTTCAGCGCACATATGCTAGTTTGCACTTGTGCCAGTTTTTGCAACTGCTTCGCATTAATGCTAGTTTGCACTTATGCCCATTTGCACATATGCAAATGTTTGCAAAATCTTTTGGCGTACTTATGCCAATTCACACATATGCCAGTTTTTGCAACGCTTTGCACTTATGCCAGTGCACATTCCAAAATGTGCTTATGCAGTCTCCCGGTTTATTCTATTTAAATCGCACGCGCATAATATTTATTTATTTTTTTTTTACAAATAAAAGAGTTGGAAACCTTTTTTTTAACTAGACATTAATTAGAGCATGAAATTATTAAAAATTACTATTTTAAAAAGGCGATGCTATTTTTTTAAACAATTTTTTTTTTGCAACTTTTTTGAAAAAATAAATGTTTATACAATTTAAAAATTTTGTAAAATTTGGTAAAATTTGTTAATTTATTAAACAATCATTAGTAGTAATTTGTTACATAATTTAAAAGCGTTTTGCGTAACTTTAATAAAACGTTTAAAAAGATTAATTTCAAACGTAATTAAAAACATAACAAAAAGTTTCGCTTCGAGTTTAAGTTTTTACCTTTTTGTTTTTATTTTAGTGCTTATATAATTTCTTTTTTGTAAAGAATTTTTATTTCGTTAGTTTTTTTTTTAACTTTTTTCCTAATTTAAGTTTAGCGTTTCTACATTTAGCCCATTTCTGGAATGTTTAAATCATCAAAACATATAAGCAATCGTAGTCAAGTTGTCAAGAAATATGCCTGTCAAAGCCTAGGTATGTGGTTACCATAGAAATTGGTTATTTTTGTGACAGCATTTAGAAATTACTTTGTTTTTTATTCACCAGTGCATCTGTTTTTGTTGTTTTATCTATTTATTGTGGCTTTTTATGACTTTTGAAATGTTATTCAAGCAGCTGTAACTAACTTTTTTTGTTTATTTGATTGTATAATTTGCGGAGTGGGCTTGCTTTAGTAGGAAATAAAGGGTAAGAAATAAATACCCATTAACTGCAAAATTAAATCAAAACCAGAAAAAACTGCAAGTATTTCAGCAATTCTGTCTCCATTAAAAATAAACCCCCTAATTCTTCTGATAAAAAAATATTTGTTATCAAAACTAGAATACAAAAAAGCACTTCAAAAACTTGAAACTTAATTACAACCTAAAAATACAATCCCTAATGACACTCCCTAATAGAAAAAGAAATATAATTTCGAGCTTGTAGAAAACGTACTAATAATCTTTAGAAAATTGTAGAAAATTTTGGCGATTAAAAATTTTAGACAGAGATTGGGAATAAAATCTGATTGGTTGAGAAAGATTAAAATAATTTGGACATAGTAAAAGATAAAGATGCAAACAACTGGGTAGAGAGTTAGCATGTAGAGAGTTGTATATAGGGTTATCAGTTTTAAAAGAAAAAAGTATTAGAAAAACCTGAAGAGAGAGCAATACAGATGACATTTAAATAGGTTCAGTTAACGAAAGAAGATGCTCAAACTTTATTAAAATGTTAATAAGGAGTGGGCAGACACAATCCATCTATAAACATAGGTCTATAGATAACATAGGATATTATAAAAAATATTTGTTATTTTTGCCATTTAATAAGATATTTAACAAAATAAATTCCTACACACTTATTTTTGCAGGAATAACTTTGTTATATATGTGTGCAATGTGTGCAAGAATAATTACAATTCACAATAATACCTGTAAATATTTCCTTTCGTATAGAAACCCACTTCATATCATAAAATGGTGCAATAGCTCCTTCCAATGTTCCGAATTCAGAACCAATGCCAAGTAAAATAAGCATGAAAAAAAAGAAAGCAGCCCATGCTTGAGGGAAAGGAAGTTCCAAGAAAACATCACAAAATGTGATAAAGGCCAAACCAGGTCCACTACCAATCTTAAAAAAATAGAAAAGTTTATACAGAAAAAATCTCAAAATAATTCTTTTTTTTTAAAAAGTAAATTTTTAAGTAAAGATAGTGGTTTTTATATTAAGGTAACTGTTTGGGTAAACACTTCATAGTTTGAAAAAGTTTCTATAAAGCCATTTTCTTATCTAAGTATGACTTTATAGAAAAGTGAAAGCGATTTCTTACAACTGGGTTACCTTCCTAGAATTAAACTGTTTTGCAGATCAGAACTGATTATTAATAACTTGATATCATTAAAAGAAGTTTCAAAAAAAAAAAGATACCATCCAAGGTTTAAGGTAAACCTTAATAATAGGGACAATAAAAGAAAAAATATATAAAATAAATAAAAAATATATATTTATATAATTAAAGTAAAAATTTTTAATATTTGTTTTTAGATTTATAATTACAAAATTTGTATATTTTTTAATGCAATATATACTCTAAAACTTTATATATCGTCAGGGATAGTGCAAAACCACGTAACTAACATTGGCTAATACCGCGTATATACAGTACATTTTTTTACTGGATAAGTTTAAAACTTTATATTTTTTTTATTTCTTTTGGGTTCATTTAAGTATAAAGAGTAATATTTATGTTTTTTGTAATGTCAACAATAGATATTTGGTGTTAAAAATAATAATGTTCAAATATAGTAACCAATGCTAATTATGCGAATTTGCACTATCCCTAACGATATACTTTATAATTTTTTGTATAAGTACCGTTTCAGCAGATTTTCCAAGATGAGCTTCGCGATAGCCCAATATACAAAACACAACCATTGCTGAAAAAATAGCTGTAAAAAAATTCACTAAAACAACAATGTATGCATCCTTTATGCAATTACTACGAAGTGGGTTGTAGCTAGCAAATGATACAAGTGCACCAAACCCTAAACTCAGGTTAAAAAACATCTGTGTGGCTGCATCCATCCATATTTCAGGATCTAGAAGCTTGTCAAACTAAAATAAAAAAGTATAATAGATTAGTAGTCAAATTAAACAGTTTAAATGATAGTAATCAACAGATTCCATATGTTAATTATGTTAGATTAAATATTAGTAATCAACAGATTCCTTATGTTAATTATGTTAAGATTAAATATTAGTAATCAACAGATTACTTACTATATTAGTAGTCAACAATATCAAAAAATAGATAAAAGGCAAAATAAAACTTAAACTTTTATTCAAAGTTTGAAATATAAACAGACAAAAAAATAAACAGATTTAAAGTTAACTCTAAACATTTTAAATAATGAAAACAAACACAATTCATATCTAATTAAAAATAATTATTGTTAAAACAAATAATTTACCTTAGGATAAAACAATTGTTTTAGTCCGTTCGTAGCTCCTTTCAACCTTACACCGACAATAAACAAAACAAGTAATATGACATATGGAAAAGTTGCAGTGAAGTATACAGCCTAAAATCAATCTTTTTTTTAAATATCTGTTATAATTACATTTTATAAAACTTTATAAATGTTAATTTAATAATTTGAAGGAAAAATAAAAAATAAAAATTTAAAAAAAAATGGTAACAGTTAAGGTAAATTTTATTAGGCCAAAATTTCAAAAAAAAAAAACTATAACTTTTTAAAATAATTGTTTTTAATTATTGACATTCAACTAAAAAGTTAAATTAAAAAATAAAATGTCAAAGATAAAAAAGTAGTAAAATAATAACAAAAGAATAATGATTAGATAAAACCTTTCCACTGCTCTTCACACCTTTAGCTATGCATATAAACACAATAACCCATGAAAGTGCAAGACATCCAAGATTTTTCCACTGAATTCCATCCCCAAGATCCTCGATTCCAGGAGAAACATCAAGAAACTTGATAAAAAAATAATAAAGTTGAGGATCATGTACGCAGCATTGAGGAAAATCACGTGTTTCATTACATGCTTTGCTCATTGAATTTTGTTGCTTACAAATATTTGTTAAGTTTTTAAACGCATCATATCTTTAAAAAAAAAAAAAAAGATTTTTAAATCAAATTTAATATTTTATTTAATAAAATACATACATACAACAATTTGAATCTCAATATAAATCACAACAAAAGTTTATATATATATATGCATTTTTTTTTTATATTTGTTAAATTTTATATTTATATAATGTATGTATTATTACTATAGTTAATGTTTAACATTTAATTTTGTTACTATTGATAGTTATTAGTTTTGATTCTGTAATTCTGTAAAATAGACTCAACTTAGTAGTTGAGTCTATTTTACAGTAGTAAAATAAGTAGTTTCTTTTTTTAGTCTGTTCTTAAAGTTGTTGCAGTCTGTTCTTAAATTTGTTGCGGTATGTCAAGCAGCGAGTTGTGCTACACTGTGCTCAAAAACATTAGCAAGCAAACGAAAGAAAAATATTTTAACTTCAATTACTAAATACATTAACTTTTCTGTAAAAGACTCTTTAAATGAAAACAATGGTTAATATTACATATAAGAACAAAGATTTATACATAAGACTACTTAAGGATGAATAAATGTGTTTTTTTTTGCTTCTATTGGTATTTTAATGTAAAAATGTGGTCTTTCAATGCCTTCGCAACTTTTTTATTACTACTCTAAAAAAAAATTTGCAACCCTAAGCCTTCTCGGGAAGCGTGTGCTGTCACATGCTTTGTACATCTACACCAGATTATTTAATTGCTATGTAACTAGGAAACGATGAGTTAAAATCTCAAATTGTTATCTGATTGATTTGCACTTTTATATGTTTTGTGTGCAAATATCATTATTAGTTATCTAGTATAACCTTGTTTTACTTAAAATAGTAACAATCATATAATGATCATATTTTGGAACAAAAGTTAAAACTTTAAGAATTTCTAGTTTTACAAGTTATAGGCAAATTTTTATTTCAAATAAAACTTGGTTATTAATATCAATAAAATATTTTCTGGATTATTGTTCAGTTACATAACAATATAAAAAATATTTTTTCAACACAAAATATTGTTTCAGCAATTAACTGTCGCAAGATAAAAATTGTCCATTAATTTTTCTATGTTTTCCTAAACATTCAACATTAGCTTAAAATCTACTGTTATTACATTTTTAGACAATAATGTAGATGCTGATAAAAACCAGCATTTTTTACAACAAAATGTTTTGCTAATTAGTTTACTCTAAGTTAAATGTTGTTATAAAATGTAGCATGTATAAGCCTAAAATCAAGCATATATGGTAAAATAATGCTTTATTAGGCCTTTTTAGAAAAATCATGTATTGTCTTTTTAGAGCCCCTGTTATATTATCGAAAAATTTAATATTTATCATTAATTCAAATTTCATAGTTTAAACTTTACGAAAATTTTAAAACAATTATAAATGAAAACTGAATTGCTTTCAAAATTGAAAACTAATATGTTGAAATTGTTTTTCTTTCAGTGGTTTTGAGCTACTTACACTATACTTTTAGAATAATTTTAATAGTTAAACCACTATATCAGGTTTAATAGTTAAACCACTATATCAGTTTATCTTTAAAATTTAATAATAAATAGTAATAACAACAACTAGTAGTAATAATAAATAATAATAAAATAATGATGTCTTAGGTTAAAAGAAATTGTAAAAAAAAAAAAAAAAATGAAAAAATAAATATTAAGGAGTAACCTTTTTCAAATACCGAATTTACAGTGAGAACAGAATTTAATTGTACAAAGTAATTTTTTAATAAAACTAACATTTTTGAATAAAATACTGTATCATGCAATAATTATAATGAACTTTTTTTCCTTCAATTATTCATTTCATAAAAAACCTTCAAAAAAATTGTTAAATTTGTCTTAATGCTTTTTTATTACCTGATCAATAATTGTATAAGAAAAACTTTATAGGTTAAAGCTAAGAAAAAATACCAGTTTATTAAAATAAATGAGAAACAGTTTTAAGTTTTTGTATTTTATAAATATACTTTATTATTTAGTTAGTCCTCCTTTTGCTTTAATTACATCTAACAAGGGTTTCGACATTTGATTTGATTATTGTCAATGTTAGACCATGATTTAACAACAGCTTTCTTCAAATCTTCTTTTTTCGTAAATGCTCTATTGCCTATTTTATATCTAATAAAGTCCATAAATGCTTTATTGGATTCTAGACTCTTTGAAGACCATTTTAAAACATTTATTCCACTTTCATCAAAAAAAGTTTTAGTTTTTTTAGCAGTGTGTTTTGAATCATTGTCTTGTTGAAACAAAAAACTGTTTCCTAATCTAAGTCTTTTAGCAGAGGATTTTAAATTTTGTTTCAATGTATTGTTATACAAATCAGCATTCATAGTTTCATCAATAAATTCTAGTTTACCAACACCATTCCGAGCCATACAATTCCATTACATTACACTTTCACCACCATATTTAACTGTTCCTCTCATGCAACTCAAATGCTTCACCCCTTTTTTGCCAAACTCTCTGTACACAACCAGACTTTTTTAAACTAAACTTGGATTCATCAGACCAAAGTACTTTTTTCAAAAATAGCATTAAATAATACTTTTTTGCAAAATTCATTCTTCTCTTCATAGGTTTTTTTGTTATAAACAGTTTTTTCCGAGCTATACATTCACTAAACACTGCTTTATGAATGCGATTTCTAATTGTTGTTAGTGAAATTGTGTTTCCTGTTAAGTTTTTCAGATGATTTGCTATATTTTTTGCACTTTCAAACCGATTTCTTTAAATCATTCTTAAAATTTCTCAATCATCTCGTAAGATTGTCTTCAGCTTTCGTCTTCATCTGGTACAAATTTCAAGCCTTTCATATTGTCTTTATTTATTTACAATGGCTTCAACTGTTGTAAATGAAATATTTGTAAGTTCTTGAACTTTTCTATAAGTATTTCCTTGTTTAACCAAGTCTATAACAAGTTTTTGTTGAGCAGTATTTAAATACTTACCTTTGGGTGCCATAATGTTCAATAAACAGAGTTTTTAATGACTTTTTTTATCAAAAATGTTATTAATTGCTGAAAATAATAATCTAGAAATACAAATTCAATAATAAAACTGATATTTTATTAATTAAACAAAACCATAAATATTCATAACAAATAATAAAACAGTTTTGTACAATTAATTTTTGTGCATGCAAATTAATACCTATGTAATTAAAAAAATCAAAAATTGTATAGCAAACACATTTTCTTATATTTTTACTGATTAATTATAAATAAAAAATAGCCATAATAAATTTTTAAAAAGTTATTTTTAATTATTAATCAAGATAAAAGCAAGTTTAAGCAAAATAAAATGCAAAAATTACTTTGTACGATTAAATTCTGTTCTTAATGTAGATTTCATTAGTAATTAGTGTTTTAGTTATATTGTTAAATTTAAACCACAAACAACAATACGTAATCAAACTTTTCCAAACTTTTAAATGATTTTTAATCTGAAATTAATTACAATATAGTACTTTAAAACAATGAAGTAATTTAACTTTTAACAATACAAATACACTGAGTTAAGTTACATTTATGTCTATATTTATTTATGTGCATTACTTAAATATTTTTATACATACATGCATAAATACATACATACATACATACATACATACATACATACATACATACATACATACATACATACATACATACATACATACATACATACGTACATACATAGACATACATACATACATACATACATACATACATACATACATACATACATACATACATACATACATACATACATACATACATACATACATACATACATACATACATACATACATACATACATACATACATACGTACATACATAGACATACATACATACATACATACATACATACATACATACATACATACATACATACATACATACATACATACATACATACATACATACATACATACATACATACATACACACAGATTAATTGCATGAGTTTTGCCTATATCTCTGTTTTTATGACTAGGCAACTCATTCTATTATTTTCTAACAAGGGTACAGCTCTAAAACTCAGTTTTATGGTTCTGACACTGGCTGGTAGTCAGGTTTCCCAAACTCTGTGGTAGCTCTTGGAGGCTGATTCCATCAACAGTTGTAAAACAAATATTATTTTACAACTGTTGATGGAACTATGATGTTATTACTAATATTTGTGGTCTTCGAAGTAACTTTTCTTCTGTTGAGTCTTATATTATGCAAAGTTCACCAGACCTATTTACTCTTAGTGAGACTAATTTAAGCTCAGCTGTTTTATCTTGTGATTATAGTGTTGATGGTTATCCTCCTTTAATTTGTAAAGACTCCAATAGTCACATGCTTGACTTGGGCATTTACATTTATAAAAACTCACCTACTTTTTGAGAAACTAGGTTTCAATCCACAGATTATTCTTTTATATGCATTCGTTTATCACTACTTCACTCTATCAACTTTCCTTTTTTTTAAATACTGCTCTCCATCATCTCAAGACTGCACTCTTTTCAATGTTATTTCTGATCAAATTGAGCAAGCCCTATCTCCTTATCTTTCAGCTAAAATTGCTGCTGTTGGTGACTTTATGCTCATCACACATAATGGCTGGGTTCATTGTACCTCTTACAACTACCTTAAAGCTGACTGGGACTCCTTCCATAATTTATTTATAATATTGTATTATAAATAAATTATGGAAGGAGCATATTGTATGCAAGCATATACATGCATATTGTATGCATGTGTTCTGTCTAAATGTTTAAATGATCTATTTAAATATTTAAATCTGTTTTGATGCAGTGTAAGCTCATTTTTCTTTATGATGGCCTTTGGGTAGAAATCCCTTGTCTTTCTGCTGACAAATGTGCTTCTTATGAAACTTCTTGGATTCAGACTGGCATGGAATCTTTTATTTCCTCTCAATAATACCAAGTCAAGCCTCACTCTTCTCCATGGCTTTCTTCTCATTTTGCCGCTGCAATTTCTAATTGTAACCATTACTTCCATAC